CACGTTTCTTTTGTGGGTTGTGCGTGCCCCCCTGATGAGCTGTAATTGATGCTGGGACGTCAGCTGGTGGGATCGCTCCTCAGGCTGGCTGGCTGTGAGGGCTGGCCATGACTACAGAGGACAAGACGTTGTGCAGGGGCTGATCCCATGGAGCGGGACTCTATTGGGTCTGTAGTGCCAGCTGGATCTGCCTTTCAGCTGTTTGTGGAGCTGGGTGGGTGGTGCTATGGTGTGGTTTGAAGTCGGCCACCAGGTGTGCTGGTTCTGGAGCCTCTTAGGAGGGGCTCTGGTGTAGACCAAGGTCAGTCTCTGTGTCCGTCTTGGGGGCCAGCTGGGGGAGCTACAAAGTGAGCTGCAGTTGGGCTGGGGCTGGTGCTTGGCAGAGGCTATACTGTGAACGAGGCTGGGTGCCGCTAGTGCTGAGCTTACGGCTGCTTCCAAGCCAACACTGGCCACAGCCTGTGCCACGCATGGGGCCACTTAGCAAGAGGTACAGGGAATGCCTAGGCCAGCCGCTGCTTGTTTGGAATTTGTGGACCTTTTGAGAGATTTTAGGAAAGTCTATAGCCTGAGCTGCTTGTGAGCAGCAGCCACTGGAAGAGGCTCTGGCTGGGCGTGTGAGTGGGGTGGGGGTCTCGGATTCGCCAGGGCCATCAGTGTTAGCCAGGTTAAAGGAACAATGGCACCTGCCAGTGCTTTAGTCCCGGAAAGAGCAGCCCTGCCTCTCTAACCCTCACCCTGAGCTAGTCAATATAGTTGCTCCTATCTGTCCCTGGTGCCTTTTGAGCTGTTTTCCCTCCAAGCCCAGGGCAGATGAGTTTAAGCGAGTCCGGGCGCAAGCCTTTCCTCACTCAGACACAATCCCCGCTGGTGTTCACAGCCAGGTGGTATGGGGACCCCTTCCCGGCCCTGGTGCCCCAGGCTGGGGAGCCCGATGTGGGGCTGGGACCCATCACAGCTCAGGGTGGACCCTGCAGCCGAGCTCTCCCTCCCGATTCTTAACTGCCACGCCCAGGGTGTGGGACCAGCCTGCTCCCCACCCACCCCTTCTGCCAGTCTGTCGCGGCTTCTTTATATACTGTCAGGACTTCTGTTTACCTAGTCTTCACGTGGTTCTAAGGGATGGTTCGATAACTGAGCTGTCATTCTGATGTGAGTATGGGAGGTGGCGAGCACAGCTTTTACCTACTCCGCTATCTTGCCCGGAAGTCCTTCCTATGAGTTTTAAAGTCCATCTTAGTTATTTTGATTTTGAAAACTTTGTAATTCATGTTTGATGATTATTCACTAAATTAGTAAAACTATGTTGCTTTTTTTTATCACCTTGCCTAACAGAGTAAAGTACCAATTTTTTAAGTATGAAAAACAAATATACTCACCAATAAAAGCACTATCGGATTCCAATAAGGAATTTTTCAAGTCGTTAGTGTCATCTCTGGGCTAAAAGAAACATAGTAATTACTATTTATTACTCCTGTATGAAAAAAACATTTGTACGAAGAGGCACAAGTTTCCATACTGATCCCAAAATTAGCAAAAAAGAATGAGAAGCGGTAGGACGGGCTTCTCCCCTCCTACACTACATTCCAAATGCTCTGAACATACAAGAAAAAACCCTTTAAGCATCACATTACTGCTGATGAAAACAGAAGACTATGAAGCAGCGAACCCAATTAAACGTTCAAACTCTTTAAACCACTGCTGAGAGTCATTCGTCTTTCCATGAAGCTGCAGTGTGCACGTGCTGCTCCCTCCATGCTAGGAACTGGACGTACAGGATGAGTAAGCGCTTCTGCTCTGGAGTAGAGCATAGTCCCGAGGGAGGGCGAGAGGCGTACCCTTAAATGCCAGCCCTACGTGACAGCAGTGCCACGAAGGCACAGCACAGATACAGAGGGACAGGGAGTAGGGCAAAAAAATAATGGTAGGGTTGGGTTGGGCTTGTAAAGAGCGTTCAAAACTCAGGTAACTTAAATTTATATAAAGAAGATTTCATAGTAGAGGCTAAGATCAAGTCACATGCTGGAAGGAACCTAGAGTTACCGAACGGCACTAAGGTGTCAGAACGCCCCAGAGTAGGGAGCTGTCCGTTATTCAAGGAAACACATTCCACTGATGTGGCACAGATCAAAACATCCTTTGTCACTGAATTCTTCCACACACTGAATTTTAATCTCCTTTTCAACACCCACTGACTCTACTTCTGCTTCCTGGCTTCATGATGTTAGCATCTAATATTTACCCCGCTGTATTCAGCACTGCACATGATGCCCACCTCCTGCATCCCAGCGCCTCACGTAACTGAGTGCTGGAGACTCCCTGGCAACCTTCCCCAGATTCATGTGTTCTCCATATAATCCAGTTTCTAGGAAAATGAGGGGCCCACAATTTATTAGCTTTTTTGTTAACGGCCAAGATAAACTGTTGGCTTATACCGAGTTAGTTTCTACTCAACAAAATATGCTACTATTAGTCTAGGATTTTAACCAATCTCCTAGATGTTAAACTTCAGTATCTTTTCACTAAGAAATGTGGTTACCACAGACACTTACCGACCTGCAGACTATCCAGAACAGGTGGCAGTATGTCTCAGGTCACGTAGTATGCGGACAAGGAGGACCTCTAGAGTCCAGCCTGGGTTCAAACTGGCATTAGTGCTTACCGTGTGACCATGGGCTCGCAAGCTCCTCTGATGTAAACAGGGATAAGCACACTTTATTGTGAACTTAGAAATACACGTACCTCGCACAGGTACAGAGTGTGCTGTAATAGCTATTAGCAGCACTGTTATCTCTGTCAGTTCAAAACCAGGCACAAACAGCTACCGGCCAGTAACCTAGGGCAACTGAACAGCCTAGCTGGGCCTGACTTTTATAATCTAAAAGTGGGGATAGTACGACCTGTATCATTTGTGTGTGTGAAGATTAAATCTGTTGCCAACCTTGACCTTTTCCCTGAACTGTCTTTTATCTGCTCATCACCTCTGCCTGTTTGTCTCACAGGTGTCTGAAACCTACAATGTCTAAAACCAAGTTTCTGATTTTCTCCCCACCCCTACATCTGTTCCTATTTCTCCACCTCTCTTGCTGTTTAGCAGCTCCATCCAAGAACCCCGAAGCCCACCTCCGACTCCCCTCACACCCTAGATCCAAGGTCAAAGCCCCGAGCAGCTCTCCTTTCAGAACTAATCGGACTCTTTCACCCTCCTGCCCCAGCTACGTCACCTTCTCTCTTCCCTAGATGACAGCCGTAGCTTCCTGTCCACCATTTATTCTCAATAAATAGTAGTCAGTGCTCATGTTAAAACGTGAAACCGATCATGTCACTCCTCTGCTCAATAACTCCGAAAGCGTCTTAACACATTCACTGCGTAAAAGGCAAAACCGTATGACAGCCCATGAGGCTCTGCCCATCTCCTCCCTCCTACCTGTTTTTCAGTCTTTGCACAGATGTCACCTCCTTGGGATGAGAACGACACCCTTACCTTGCTTATTTTCTTTATAGGCCTCACCACTACTTGTATTATGATTCCTACTGACAGCAACACTTACACTACACTCATTAATATATTATCTCACTTAATTCTCACAACCCTTGAGCTATTTCTTACTAGTTTAATAAACATTTAATTAGATTATTACATGCTAGGCCTGCCCTATGTACCTTGCAAATATTAAAGAACTGAATCTTTATGGCTGCCCTCAGAGGCAAGCAAGTACTGTTATACTGTTTTACAGACCAGGAAGCTCAGTCATAGGAGGAGGAACTTGCCCGAATCACACCACTAAAAACAAACTTGAACAGCCTAGCTCTAGAGTCTTGTTTTTAGCCATTACAATATGCTTTCTCTACATGTTATTCTAATAACATCTCTAGCTACCCAATGTAGTAATGAGATAGATTTAAAATCTACCTTAATTCAATTTTTCTGAAAGTTCGAAATTGGAATATTCACTTATTATTCCTAAAAATTTTATCCCCCAAAAACTAGCTTGAAAAACTGTAAGAGGGTCCATACCATTCCGTGGTCTTGTATTTTAGTGCTTGGAACAGCAGCCAAGTTCACTGTAGTCAATGGAGAAAACAAAAGGTTAAACATTTTAAAAATAAATTTTAGAATATCTTTTGTGACTAGCTCTCTACTGGAAATTTTCAACTATCACATTTCAGAATGTTTTAAAAATCTTTATTACTATAACTTAGTATCCATTCCAGTTGGATAAAATTCTCCCATTCCTCTTAATGACTGTAAAAAAGTAAAATCACTATGAACCTAAAACTGAGACCTACTGAAAAAGGAAATAATGCACGATTCACCATTTTCTCTCATATCTAAAATCCATGTAGAAATTTGTTTAGTGGGAGTTAAACAGGGGGCTTCTTCACATGAAAATGAAGAAAGCGAACCCAATTCCAGGCATCTAGTACCAGGGCCAAAAGTTTTGGGGTCAGGTGACCCAAAGGCCCCTCTCCGATTCGGTCAGCGTTCTTATGTGTTCCTCTGAATACTGCATTTTGTCCTTTTAAATACTGCCTTTAGGACTAAAGAGGCTGCAAAGACCGCCTATATTCTTTCTTAGAATATTTCGCAGCCGTGTTTGTGATTTTTTATAGTTAAAACCATATTCTTATGAATTAAGTCACAGTGTCAGAAGTTGGGGGGTGGCCGTTGTCAGGGATGGATACCCTCAGTGCCAGAATGCACCTGTATCCACCTGTGGACTATTTTTGGGCTAATTTGGTTGCCAAGATCGCACCAAATCAGATCATCAGTTGGGTCTCCTAAAGAAAAATTCCACCAAAATGGGTATAAAGGTTGAAGAATATTCTCACTTCTCGTCTCCTGATGATATGTGCACTATTTATCAGAGACTTTGGGTTATTCTGCTGTCAGATCACCATCTATGAAACCACTGTCGAAAACTCTGTGTCAGACAGAGGGAAAACACCCCCTGTACCAATCATCACCTAAGTCTTGACCGGTGACGTGGGCTCAAAGCACTACTTACTCCTGTGATACTGTCCCATGCAGGTAAAAAAGGTTCCTCAGATTCTGCAGGCAAGCCCGGCCCGCCAAGGGAGGGCCTGAAAGTTTCCTAAATAGAATTTGTGGGTCTGCTTCCTATTCGTCACCTGACTGCTGCATTTTTACGACTTGTTTTCCATGGCCTCCCTCAGAGGCTTAAGCTGGCAAAGCTGGTAAAATACGTACGACGGTTATGCAGTCACCTGGTCAACAGGGACCATCAACTCTGAGGCAACTAGCTCCATCTGCCTCCAGATGCCTGATGACCCCCACCCCTAGTCACACACTCCCCAGGACTCTGCATTTCTGTGCAGCATTCATTACACTTATACTTTTTAGCATCTACCTTCTCTAACAGAGGATAAACCGATGCTTTTCAGGTTTAACGCCATGTCAGACTTAAGCAGACACTCACAGGAGAGAAATGCCCCCATAGGCTCTGCTGTTTGCCTAACATTCTTTCCCTTGGCTCCTGGTTCCTAGTGTAGATGTCACCCGGCCTAGTCAAGGCATCCAATCCTCCCGGCTCTAGTAAATGGCTGGCCACCCCCCCAGGCATGGATGCCTGACCCAGCCAAGCCCAGTAGAGCCTTTTCTGGGACTAAAGGCCAACAGGGCTGTGAGCCTGCCTGGGGCTGAAATCAACACGAGGGCTGGAGAAAGCGAGCCGACACTACAACAGCCGACTGACACCCCTGGAAACAGTAGCAACTGTTTCTTACCTCCGGCGCCTTCCTGCATTTTCAGTCTATTCAGTCTCTTCTGCTGCTCTCTCAGCAGGGCTTGCTGCTGAATCTCTAAGGTGTAATGATCTCTTGGAGGATCCGGGTACATATATTTCAGATCAACTCGTGTTTCTGAATCTGGTGCAAAAAATAAGATTTAACATAGTTTTCTGTAACATACGAGTAATCTAATTTCAGAGTCAGGAAACAGTATAGATAATGCGACATAGCCAAAGTCAAAGGACATTAAAATCATAAAACTAAAGAAGACGAAACTAATATTCGTTAAATAAATGCCTTTTAACAAACTTAGCAACATTATAAGGGAGCCCCCAGAAAGCAACAGCTGTGGATGGATTCTCCATCCCTACCACCCAGTCCCCCAAGACGCCACCCAGGGCAACTAGGTACATGCACACCTGGCAGTGAGTCGCATGGCTACAACATGGGCAGCCGGAAAACACCAATCACAGCTGATCCCTAAAACACACTGTAATCATGGAAATGTAACGGTACTGGCCGATTAATACTTTAGCCATTGCAAATACGCAAAAAGCCAGGTAAGAGCAGACTGGCCAGAACTTGAGGGACATCATTACCGGAGGACGCGACGGTCTAAGAACTCACCTATGCTGAAATTCAGGAGTATCAAGCGACCAGAAGGAAAATGTTAAACGTGATTTTTAAATCCTGAGACTATAGTTCATAAAATTTATAGCCTTGAAAAAATTATTCCCTTTGATCCACTAATTGTACCACTAGGTTATAAAGAAATGATCTTAAATATGTAAAAAGCTTTATGATCAGAAATTATCAAAATAGTAAATGGGAAATATGTTGAATATCTAAGAATTAAAAAATGGTTAAGAGCAAAGTCAACAGAAGAGACTCTGGACACATGAACTTGAATTGGACCCTGACTTCACTGCCTCCAGATTCAGTTTTCTTTTTTACAAACGAGACAACTAAGTCATAGGATGAATGAGGACTAGATATGGTAACAGAGGGGAATAAATAGTTCCATTTTGTGGTTTAAACCTTTTTGGTTTCAAGACTTCTTTTCACTCTTAAAAATTAAGGACCCCAATCAATGTATGTGTCTGTCTCACACACAAGCATCATATTAGATGTTAACACTAAGAAGTTTTTAAAACGTGAGAACACACAAGTGCACATTCTGTTAGCTTCAGAGCAATAAAGTGATCACAGGCCTCTAACCTCTGGAAAACTTGTATATACACGGGAGAAAAAAATGAAATAGGTAAATAATATCTTAGTTTATAATAAAAACAATTTTGACTTCACAGGTTCCCTGACCAAACTCTGAGACCCACAGGCTTAACATAATGCCTGAAATATAGTAAGTAATCAACAAACAATAGCACATAAAAAAAAAAATACATGGTATGTGTAATTGATGAGGTGTAAATCTAAGTAAAAAAGAAAATGAATATAATTATATCTTGTTTTAATGTTTTTTTTATTTAGGTGGTTTACAGAAAGTGAATTTTCTCTTTCCACTTTCTGTATTCAAAACTTTCTATAATATCACTTTAAAAAATAACCAAAAGAAGAGAAGTTTAAATTCTGGTTTATCTGGTATAGGTCATATGAACACACATCCAACCATCTGCCTCCTCCATGCCAACACCTACTCTGCTCAATGCTCCTAAAGAAATACCGCATATAACACATTTTGGTTCCTTTTATACATTTTCAGTCTCCCAGGCCTCTGTGTACCTTGATCATTCTATTTCCCTAATAAGCTTTCTCCCCTGCTCTACCCACATCTAACCTTCCCTACCGTCTTCCTTCAAAAATCCTACATACCCCACTCTCTCCAACAATCACTCCCACCCTCCTGCACCCTAAACCACTTCTTCCTGAAACAGCTCTTCACATTAGCATCCTAAAAGTTCCTCCCTCTCCAGAAGCTTTTCTCTTCCTTCCCAGCCAAGGTTCTTCCACGGGTTGCATTATGCTAATTGCTGCTAATTGCTTCCAACGCTCCTCCTCGCCCCAAAGGTAACTGGCTTCTGATCCCATAAACCCACAAAAAAGATCAAGCTGAGGTCACCAATGGCCTGTGATCCAACTGACATTTTCAGTATTTGTCTCAGACAATCCCTTCTCTTCCCTCAGCTTTCAGGATCCACGTTCCCCTGCTTTTCCTCCAATCGCTCAGTCCCTTTCCCAAGCTCGTCCTGCTCTGTCCACCCTCCATTAAAATCCAAGTGCCATTCTTCACACTTCTGGATGACCCCACCCACCGCCGAGGCTTCCACGGCTGTGTGTTCTCCGAAAGAAAACAGCCGAGGTAAAGCTTCATCCCCCAGACGGTAAAATGAACAACTCGAGTACATAGGAGTTTTACTCATCAGCACTTACAGTATGCATCGTAGGTAAAACTTCACTTTAGGAAAAGGATACGAACATGTTTAAAGATCCTTGGCCGTGGGTGGAAGGTTCTTGCTCTAGCGGCCGCCTACTCACCTCTATCTTTCAGCTCGTTGAAGTCAAGAATATTCTGAAAAGCAGTGGTGTCGACGTCCTTCGGCGACTGTCTTCTCACAGGTGCTTGCAACCGATGTCGAGCCATGTCAAATATGTCCATGGGGTTCCTTTCTCTTTTCCTGCACATCGGTGACAAATTATGATGTGTTTTATGGGGCTAAAATCTGAGTTCGCATTTCACTCAAGAAATTTGTCATCTTTCACCAGAATATATTGTAAAAATCTATTCTAACATGTTATTTCAATCTTTATATTAAAACAGGGTATTTATAAGGTGGTTGTTTGTGATCTTTCAAAATGCCCAGGTGTAAAGTCCCTTATTAGAAGAGGATGATTTGGCTTTATCTTAAAATGTTCACGCAGACTTTACTTATTCAGTCACTTATTTATGTCACTGTTGTGTCATATATATTTATTTTGTACTTTGGGTTATAACCGAATACTACATTATGCTGTTGCTCAAATTATAGCAGCTTTGGCCATGGGAGCTCTTTCGAGGGTCGCTCCTGTTTCCTTTTGATGTCTCCATCCTTTGTATTTTTGAGTACTTCCTTCCTTTCTGGTACAAGATGCTTGAGGATCACTTTGTACTTCTCCTGCCCCAGCCCTAGAATCAGCCATTTCTCCCAGGGGCCCTGCTGCCTCTTGGAGAAAGATATTCAGAAACCCAGCTCTGGATGCTGAGCATGCTTGCTGCGTCACTGCTTCTAGGGCTCATTGGTGGGCAGGTCTAGGTATTGCATTATGTAAAGTGAGTCATTAACATATCTGTAACTGTTCCTGTGCATATCAGTTTATATGCAGATTAAGGTCATACTGAGATGTCTGACACTAGTCCAGTATGTGGTAGGATTTTAATGTAGCATGTTAACTTGCCTAATTATACTTCGCTTAGATTCTTGTTGGCATTCTCCAGACATGTTCTGGCTAAGTAAACAAGGTGAGGAAATTTCAAGATTTAGACTGGCTAGATGATGAAATGTGCACCCAAGGTAGTAATTATCAATGACTAATTCTTCCATAGTAGGTCAGTTACTACTAAGTAATTAGGAGATCGGTATAGTTTTCCTACATTTACTTTTATATTAAAAATGCCTTAACAAGTACAGCTTTCCATATTCTAAACATGCATGTTTAATTTCACTATAATAGACTGTTGACATTTTATTTTCCTTATTTTCATTCGTAAATTGAAGACTGTGCTCTCTTTTGGCAAACCAATATGATTTAAGAGAAACCAGTCAGCTTTTCAGTTTTCTCATTTGCAAATCATACATGATAATTCCTACCCCAAGAGATTCTAGTGAAGAATAAATAATGTATTTAAAAGAACCTTGAAAATTCTACAGCTAACTGAAGTTAGATGTGTTAGAGTTATCATCATTTAGCATGAATTGGTTAAATACATTTACTTTGATATAATTTTAATATGTACCAAAGACATCTCAGGTTTGGTTCGTTATTCCAATATTGTAATAATTTCACCAAAAAAATCTCTTATTCATTAATTCATCACATTATTGAGCTCCTACTATGTGCTAGGGACACAAAGAACACAAGCCAGCTCCCATGTATAGAAGATCTAATAATCTAATTCTTAATTTAGCAGCCTATGTAACTATTAGTGTTAATGAAACTAAACAGGAATTCAGTATTTAATGGCCTTCTAGGACCTGTTTAGTATTTGTTTTGCATTGTAATGACCCTCCAATGCGGTGCCCATCACCTCGTGGTTCACTGGGGTCTGTGTCAGCCTCGACAATGTAAGCTTTGTGGCCTTGGCGAATCCTTCGCCTGGAAGCAAACTCCAGGAGAGCAGGAGCATTACCTGCTGGGATCCCACTGTTCCCTTCTGGCTGCTCAGGGAAGATGTAGTGAATAAGGAAATGAAGGCAGGAGTCTTACACCTATAGCTTAGAGCTACATTTTCAAAATTAGAGGGGGCCTACCTGGTACTGAAGGAAGCAGGAGATATTTGGTTTTATGTTATTTTCGGGGCTAGCGATGCCATCCCCTATCTCTGTCCTCTCATTGTCAGTCCCCCAAACCCTGACAGAAAAGTCCCCACCTAACCTGCCTGCCTATTCTATTAATTCCCTTGGACTACAGAAATAGAGTATTAATTAACTAACTAGGTATAAAGTTCTCTGAAAGCCTACTGTAAAATTAGTTTTGGGGACTGTGGATAATACCCATTATATTTGGTAGCATATTACCATATTTTTCTTTATAGTTTCTATTTTAGACTGGGGGAAGGTAACATTGAGTATCTAATACATACATGTCAAGTACTATGCTGAGTACTTTTCAGTATATAAGTTTACTTAATTCCCATGCTCATAAGACTACAAGGGGTAGACATTATCTACAGCTTACATGTGATGAAATCGAGATCAGACTACTTAGTAGATAAAGCATGTCTTTGAATCTTGGTTTCTCTGGCCTCAAAGACTGATCTTTCTACCACTTTGTCAACACCACTAATATCACGGCTGCCATAAATAAACTACTCGCAGTACAGAAGGACAATTACAGTGCTCTATTTAAATATTTTATATTAGGTTAAATAAGCATTAAATATTCCATATTTTCACAGTGAATAAATTCAGCCACTGTGAATGTTTCATGAAGGCAACTTTATCTATACAAAATTGAAGAATGTGAATCAAAGCAGATTAGTTAATTTTAAAAAGAGCTATTTTGCCAAGGGAAAATAAGAGAAAACCTACTATATACTACAAACACAAACAGACTCAAAAAATCATATTCTATTTTGTATTAGTTCCACTAGGTCCCTCCACTAGAATATAATTATTTAGTCAGATTTCTTTTGGGAGAAAAAGCTTTTTCAGTCATTACAATTTCCCCAACAATCTGTTAAAATGCAAACCATGCCTTCTAAAAAAGGTGGTTCTCAATAAACATTAATTAACCCTGCTCCAAACTGTGGGAGTACGGGGCGGCTCTCCCTGACATGATTCCTTATCCTAGACACGAAAGAACTCGAGACGAACGGAAGCGACCGGAGCTTGCCTCGAGCGGGCTTCGTCGTCGTCCACGCGCAGCAGCTGCCCCTGCAGACGCCGCTCCTCACTGCGGAGCTGCTTCCTCATTTCCGACAATTCCATAATTACATTTCTTTTCTCCTCTGCAAATTCCCAGTGATAGGTAAAAATTATAACAGGTATAATTACAAAAGATTAAACATGAAAATATAACATAACTTATAAAGCTAGAATGCTCAGAGAGACATTTTTATGCAAGTTATTTTTGATGTTTTCCATATAAGATCATATCTGTGAACATCATTAAGCCCTACAAACACATTTCTGACAACACAGCAGTTTCGAAAGTTAAGAAATACTCTTGGGGGTGGGTCAGAGTGCAACTATAAAGGGGCGTGCAAGGTGCACAGCTGTGCACCTTGTGTGGCAGTTACACAAATTGTACGTGATAAAAATGCACAGAACTACACACGTACACTCACACACACACACACACACACACACACACACACACACGAGCACACGTGAAACCTGGTGAAGCCTAGTGAAAGTCTGCAGAGTGTGGCTACTACACCGTGTGATCTGTCACCACCGAGGGGGCCGGGGGAAGGGTGCCCAGCACCTCTCTATCTCTACTGTTTTACAATGTTCTATGAGTCCATTTCAAAATAAAAAGTTAACAATATTCTCGATTACAAGTTTGCTAGTTAACCCTACCCTCTGCACGGAGCTGGTTCTTCCTGGCAGGCACCGGAGGAGACTGCGCCCTGGACACGGACCGCTCCTGTTAAACAGCCATTGACAGATGTCAGTGTCTTACCTGCTCGGACGTAGCAATGTGTCAAAGAAACCAGCCTCCCCTCCGTCCTACCTACAAACTCACTTATGTCCATCCTCCCTCCCAGCGCAATGCTGGGGTCCCCGCCCCCACCAAAGACAACCTCGTCGACTGCACTGTCCTGAGAAGAGACCCCTACCCCTCCGTCAGTTCCTTTTCTCCACCCTTTTCCTCTCTCCAAGCACCTTCCTCTCAACTACACTTAAAAATCTCTCCCTTCTTTAAAAAAATTCTTACCTCGCCCTCATCACCATCTTCTGTCCATTCTCTCCTTCCCCTCAGCGCCATGGCGCTTTAAAGAGCAGTGAATGCAGCAGGTACGGCGTCTACCTCGTTTCCTTCACTCCTCACCACAGCTGGCTTTGCTCCCATACCCCATCCCCCCGCCAACACTGCTCTCGCCGTCACCAAATGACCCCAGTGGCACATGCAATGGGCATTTTAAGCCCTTATTTTACTTGGCCAGGAGCAACTGACATCATTGTCACTCTGTCACTCTCTGTCTCTATTTCCTTGCTCTGCTGGTAATTCCCCCATGTTCCATCTCCAGCCCTCTCTACTTCCCCCGAACTCATGCTAGACAATCGCGCTCACCTGACAAGCAACAATGTCCACAACTTCCAAAGCTGCAAACCCAGTCCCAGGCTTTCTTAGCCACAATCCACATTTGCAAACACCTACTCCACATAACCCTCGCCAGAACGTGAAGTTGTCACTGACTCCTACCTACACACACACACCATTTGTATCTCTTAAATATATCCTGATGCTGTCACCCCTTCTCAGTTCTTACTGCCACTGCCTTTGTTTAGGTCCTCAAAGTCTCACATCTGAACATCTGCAAAGCATCCTGGCCTCTACTGCATCTCCACACCACTGCCTAAGATAACGTTATGCAAAACAAACATGGCTGTGTCATTCTATTTAAATATTACAATGAATTCCCATATATTATCCACCACACACCTACTAACTCAGAATCTGAGAGGGTGAGATTCAGGAAGATGTTCTCCTAATACGTTTGTCCATTCTGGTAATGAATCTGTTTGGGATTCACGAGCCTACGGAGTAAAGTCAAACCCCTTTGCACTCTGTATAACCCCCTGCACGTGTCCTACCCGCCACCTCCTCGGCCACCTTGCTCAGGCATTCTCAGGCCCCAACCAAACGCAGTGTGTTCTCCATGTGTGCCACGCGCCTTACGCTTCCCCATGATTCTGTACGTGCTTAGAGTCCCTCACCCTCCTCCTCTTCATGGCAAATTCCTACTCATTCTTCAAGAGGCAACTCAAGGATCAACCCTTCTGGAACATTTTCCCGGCTCTCTTGATTACAGCTTAGTCTCGTGTATAAGGGACTTCATTAGCATAACTACAGCTAGCCGGAAGATACAGTATCAAAGACAAGGCATTCTTGAGGGCCTGGACAAGAACCATGTGCTAAATTCTGATTTGTCAAAAGAATTTAAACTTTAGGGTACAGAGTACTATCAGTTACAACTGAAATAGCAGACGAATTAATGTAGACATAACCTATATTTCAGAACTGAAACAATGTAACCTAGCTAAATATGATGAATAGGAAAATCTCATTCAATTCCCCAATCCAAAATAACTTAGCTAACATTAACAAATCAAAAGAAAAAGTATATACTTGAATAAAGGAACTTATAATGCTGTCAACTGAAGGAGGTCTTTGGAGTTTGCTGGCAATTTTGTTCTGAAGAGCAGGAACCACAGGAGAAGGCTGTCTCAAGTGCTGAAACAAAGAAACAAAAATAAATGTGTACACACACGCAAACACGTGCACACGTAAGTGTATGTATATATACACACATACACACCTAATACTTAACAAAACCATCGAAAAAGTGCAAAATGTTATTGCTTTTATTTGGTAAACTACTTTTTACCAAAAAAGTCAGAAAAACAATTACATAAAATCAAATATATCAGTTACTGTAAACATAAACGGATTTAGATATCCTTATTAAAAAAATATGACTCAGATCAGGATAAAAAAGTTCAACAAACTTAAGTAAAGCAATAGCATACACAATATCAGGAAAGCAACAAAAACAAAAAATATATATATAGCCAAAGCAAAACAATCATCTTAATAATAAAATAAAATTCTTTTTCTGGAAAACAAATAGATCAACTATAATCTAGTTCTCTTGTCACCAAGAGCGTTACAGATGTGAGAATTTTCTAGATCACAATAGAGTTCTATGTGTCCATATGAAAATAAAACAATTTCAGTTTACAATGTAATAAAGCTAATAGTTCCCAACTTCACATTAAAATTAAAATGCTAAAAACTCCCAATAAAGTGCAATAATAATTATCTGGGTAAAAAAGCTCTCATGTGGATGTTACATTGCTCATTTTGTACAGTAAAAATGAAATATTACTTTGCTGGACTTTGATAAAATTAGAAATATATGAAAGAAAAAGTTTTTTTTAAAAACCTCTAGGTGACCACAGCAAAATTATAAAGACAATATAAACTTTCTAAAGAACAGTAGAGGACGAAGCAAACAAAGCATAGTCCACATAATAAGAAAACAAGTAACTATCACAGAAGTAAAACAGTCAAATCCAATTAATATGACCAACTATATCAGTTATGATAAAGAAAAGAATGTAGATATCCTTACCTCAAAGATTATAACTCTCAAATTAGGGTAAAAAACAAATTTAAAAACTAAGTAAATATACAAGCTAAAAAATAAAAAATGTGACAAGTAAAAACTAAAAGAGTAGACAAAAATACGTATCAGGCATATGCAAATGAAAAAAATGGCAGCTAGCAATGACAATTTTAGAATTAACGGCAAAAAGCATTAAATGGATCAAAGCTGATTTAAAACTTTACGGTACTTCACAATTAAATTTTACCAGTCATAAAATGATATATTCCTAAGAAAGAGTATTTTCCTTAAACCTAATAAGGAACTGGCAGAAACACAATTGTGAGAAGCTAACAAATAATAGATTATCTATTATAATAAAATATTCTGATGTCCACTCAATTTTGTTGTAAACCTAACACTGCTTTAAAAAATAAACTTTATTAAAAAAAGAATATGATACTTGAATAATATACTTTAAAAGGCTGAACAAATATTCAGCTTTAAACTCTAATAAAGACTACTGCCTAATATTCCTAGAACCCTAAAATAAACAAAACAAACCAAAACTATAGATCTTATTTATGAATTCTCTCAATGTTCTAGCAAATTCTAATGATAAATTCTTGCCATTTCTATTATCATAAAATCCTGGGATGAGAAATCCAATTGTTTATTTGAACCAATTAAAAATGGCTCAAGTTATCTAAAGTAGGTTACACAGTGGACAGTGTACCAAACCACATCATAAATACACCAGAGGAGCCCACTGGTAAAAAGTGACCTTTTTATCAATCCTGCTTTGAAAAAATGATGTTTGCGTAAATCTAAATTTCTAAAAACAATTTTCTTAAATTAAACTGGGCTAAACCCACAAGACATACAGGGTCTTTCAACGTGTGGTCCACAGGCCGACCACATCTGAACCCCTAAGGATGCCAGTAAAATGCAGGTTCCTAGGCGGCCATCAGACTCAGTACATCAGACACTTTGTAGATGAGACTCGAGAACACGCATTTTTTAACAAGATGCCTGTGACAGTCACGCACGGACTTTTAAACACAGCTCTGGAACAGGAGCCCAGGTGTACAGAGAGGAAAGCTCCGTCCAGTGACTTGGATGCACGTGCCCAACAGTGGATGTGAACCCCCATCTCAGGCACAAACGTCAGACCAGGCTGTGCTGAGCCAGCGGTTTTTCTTTAATTTCCCATCCATCATGGACAAATGTGTAAAACAGTCAGAAGAATTACTAGATAAATAAAAAACTTAAAAGGACATTATGTAATTCAAGCCCAGCTTTTGTATTAGCAGAGTCAACAGACATAAAATCACTTTTACAAGTTGCCACGTAAGTTTCCACTTATTCTCAATTTCTGTCCTGTCCCTGTCGTGAATAGTGCAAGGGTGCTGGCCCACGGGCCACGGGCACAGAGCCAGATGGCTAATTAACCCGCTGCATTCACTGGGGGACAGCAACAGAACACAGTGACATCGCCTCGTACAGCAGGTCCAGTGCGGCCCCCCTCCCCACTTTCTCCCTCATGGTACCAACTCCCCGACTGTCGCGGACAAAGTGGGTTCAACTACGCTTTACCCGACCTCGTTGGAGACTGACCTTCGATTCTGGCCCAGGTACATTCTCTCTTTCGTAGTAGTGCTGAAGCTGCAGGTTATGTTTTTCCTCTTCTTCTTTCTTCTTTCTTTCTGCTTCTTTTCGTCTTTCTTCAGCTAACCGAATAAGCTCCTCATTTTTTAGCCTTTGCTTTAAAATAAAGAGAAAACTATATATACTCCACACATATATTCCCTATTCCATTCAAAAATATGCTGCCTTATTTGTGTGCAATAAAGAAGCAAAATTGAAGATATAGTTGTTCTTTAACATAAACTGTCTGCTTCACAATAAATTAGGCAGCTTTTATAACATCCTTAGCATAAACTATTTATTGACTTTAAAATGTCAACATTTATGCCTTTTCTTCACTTAGTTTTTCACTTTAATAAAATAATATCCAGTGAATGGGTACTGAACTGGTATTTTCTAAATGTGCCCCAAGACTGGTCTCCTCTGTAAGTAATAAACACCTTTTCGAGACAAAATAAAAATTTCACTTTCAGACTAAGTAAAAAGGAGGAGGAAAAAAGTTCACCTCCTCCTCTTTCTCCCTTTTCTTTTCCTGTTCCTCTTCATACTCTTGCTGGATTCGCGCTCTCTGTTCCGCCAGCCGTTTTTCTTCTTTTTCTTCTGCGATTCTCAGTCTCTCTCGCTCTGCTTCCTCTCTTTGTTTCTTTTCCTCAATCTAAAGAATTAAACCTAGTTATTTCTTTGTAAACTACTGAAAAGTTAGAATACCACTTACTTCTTCTGAGTATTCTATGAATTCAACATTTCTATCCTTTTTTGAAAGTAAAAAGTTCCTAAATTTTTCAGTTTCCTGTGTTTTATTAGGGAGGTTACATGAGGTAATGTCATGAGTCAAATGCAACATTATGAGCTGAGTAAAATTCCAGCTCCACCAAATCCTTACAGACTGTGTGACCTTAGGAAACTTTCTTGGTCAGTTTTCTCACTTGGTAAAAAGAATGAATAACGACTACATCTCAAAGGATGCTCAAAGAAATGAAATGAAAAAGATATGTAACAACCATAAAAGTTCCTCCTTGCTAGAAGGTACTCAATAAATAATTCATGACTGTATTGACTTATAACGTTGCTACTCTGTCTCAAAGTTTCTTGGCTTGATTAGTATCTTGAAACAACAGTAAAATCAACATGTTAGCATTCGATCATTCTTCATGCAAGAAGCCCTCCTCCAAGAATGTCCTTTCCTTCCTTCCTAAATACTGGTGAGCTGTAAGGACAAAGATGACTTTAGCCACAAGGATTCATAATTAAGTTTCATCTTGAAAGCCACCTGGAATGCACAGTTCTGAATACTCTGTGGGAATATTCTGAGGCAGAGTCCAAGATCTGAAAGAAAGAGAACCCTAAGAGAGAGTCTACATTCTCCATGAATACAGTGGGGAGAAGGGCAGCATGGGTACTGGCATTCGTGACACTGGTTTAAAGCTACCAATAGGTTTTAGCTACTCTTAGGTATGATTTGATTGTCACCATTCATATTATTTTTGTTGTTTTTATCTGCATTGTCTCCAACTTCAAGACCGTTATATCAAGTGCTGTCAATCTTTTGAGCAATTAGGAACTTTAATCTTCTTACATGTCGCATGACTTCACATGCTAGGGCTTTGCCCACATCACTGTTAAATATGCACAATCCTAATATTTAGTACTAAGCAGTGTGCACGTAATGGCTTCTTCAAGTACAATATACCTAAAGAAAACATCAGTTATGATCTACACAACAAAACCTCACATTTAACACTCAGTTTCCTCTTCTTCCTACTCCATGAAAAAAGAAATCACAAATACAGAGTCACTTCTCCACTAAAGGTCACAATCATAAATGGATCGCACACCTAATGAATCCACAGAAATGCCATTCCAACAGAAATGCTACACAGCAGTTCAACGGAAAAAGGAAAGCTATCTTCTCGGCGAGTGGTTTTCAAACTGTATGATACGCAAGTGCTTTGGGATTCTGCAAATATTTTATTGAATGTATTATTTGTAAAGCTCCCATTTAAAATGTTACCTAAATACTCACATGTGTTATTTACTAACCTGTGACCACACGAAGGCTTCTGCTTCACGAACAAACGAACGGTACACTTACTTGCTGCACGCATGCAGCCAAGGCTTCTCTTGCATCTTTGAGCACAGATGTGAACATTTTATAACATTCCCTTTAACACTTAAGTTTAGAGATACTTCTCGCCTGACACTATGTCATTGGTAGTAATAATAAATACTATTGAGCTATTTTACATTTTCTTAGAATTCTGTGCTAGATTTTGTCTGGGGTAAGCAGAGAGGGTTAGGCTGCTGAAGAAAACAGGCAGACGACCATTCGCTAGCGGTCCACACAGGCACACTGAAGGTTCACGGGGTGGGTGAACCGAAAGCTGAACTCACTGTGACACTGATGTAGCCAAAGCTCCCTCCCTCACCAGTGGTCTTCTCCAGAGGGAGAGAATTCCAGGAGCTCCCTAGAAATAGTTCTGTACCTACAGATGTGATACTTAAAATCAGGTGACTTGGGTACAAGCACCGGCCTCACGATTTGCCAGCTCTGCCACCACGGACGAGTCCTTAGTCTGGTTTAGTTGCATGTCACAGAAAAAATAATACCTTCCTCAGAGATTGTTGAGGTTTAATGAGGTACTACATGTAAAAGTATCTTATAAACAATAACAAGCTATACAATTGCAACATTTTGTTTATTTGCTTCCTAAATTCTACTCTAGATCACACCAACACTTGCTAATTAAGTACAATGGGAGCTATTAAGTTTTGACTTACTATCATTATGGGCAAAAGACCACAGGGTCTTTCAAGTTCAACAGGTGACACTATGACCCTCAAACTGCTGTCATCTGACTTCTGTGGCCAATACCCTTGGGACTTGATGCTACTCTCTTACACTCGATGCCTCTATTCATTCTGCTGATCCTCAGAAAGGTCCTTCCATCCGTTTGCACTGTCACCACTCTAGTAAAGAGCCCTGTTTCCAATGTTTTAAATCCTCCAACAATACATTCTAAACACTAACACCAGACCAATCATCCACAAGACTGCATCTATCATGTCACTGCCTTATGTCAGAGTCCACAACAATCAGGATTAAAAAGATGACACGCTCAAGCAGACACTCTTTAAGAGGAATTGAAGACACTGGGATTACACTGGGTAGCCTTAAATGTCGGACTAGGGAATTTAGACAATTCCTGTAGAAACGAAAAGCTACTACCTAGTTTTGAGTGAAAAAGAGTAACATAAAGTTATATCAAAGGAAGATTAACCAGGCCACGAGATTAACCTGACACTGGGGTTTAAGTGTGGGTGGAAGGGGCAGTAAGGAGAGAAGACACTGAACCCCTCCAGGGCTCGTCTCCCATCTCAGGCTCCCTCCCTAGTGATCAGCACGGGGTGGCCATGGTACAGGAGCTCAATAAACACCGGATGCTCAAGTGTCTTCCTGCGCATCCCTATTTTAAGTGCTATTTGTTTACATAAATAAATGTGGCAAATAACTGCAAAATGTGATTACATCTAATTTTTATTTGTTTATAATTTATACTGAGCCAAGAACATCAAATCTTTTGGGTAAAAAACTATTCCTTTTCTACTAACACATAAGCATCTAGAAAGACTAATTCTATTCCTAATAGGTGAATATTTTAAACCTTTCGGTTTTAGAAATTTCAGCACTCTTTAACAATCATTTAGTTTACAAAAGATTGAGTAAACTGGTATACCTAACATGTCTCCTGAATCCTTTTTCAGATATGTGATATTTTAGTACTACTACCTGTATCTGATATAAATTAGAGATTATAGGTAACTGCATGGCATTTTAAAATTTATTCTTTATCCGATGGATAAAAATCTTTGCAAGTTTAGTTTGTTAACACTCTTATGAAACTTTGAAACTATAATCAAATAAGTATTTCACCTGAAAACGAAGAAAATTCTTGTATAATTCTTGCTGTTTAATCTGAAGTTCAGTTGGAGGCTCACCGAATATATTTCCCCGAGCAAAAGGAGAGCTCTGTGTCTGTACACAACCTTGAAAGAGAAATATTACAAAAAAAAAAAAATACCATTAGCCAATGTTTAAAACATGTAAATGTTAAAGAATGAATGGTTTGCTACTAAGTTCATATTTTAAAAAATGTGCTAAATCTGGAAGTCCAGAGGCTACAATCAGAAAAGGATGGCTGAGATTAGAACCTGAAGGCCAAATGAAAAATAACAGAAGAAAAACAGTGAAACTAAAATAAATAGCTGAAAAATCATAACATATCTACACCTGAAAGACACCAAGAAAACATAAAAGCTAATAACCCAAACAACTCTGATTACAGCAAAGGCTTTAAAATTTATATAGAGAAAAAAAGTGCATGTTTAAGTTCTTATGAATGTAAATATTCATTTCTTAATGCTATTGCTTATATATTAAAATGTATTATGTATGTAAAAAATTTCCAAAATTGTCTTAAAAAATCAGTAATTCCAAGGTCTTCCATCCATGGTTAAAGCAATAAAGTCAGCTCTAAAAACATTTTTTTAATAAATATAACTTTTCAATCATTGCAATAATTTTTTAAAAAAATTCTATTGAAGGGATATAAACAAAGTAACATTATCTAGTATATTGCCTATTAGTATCACACATTCTGAGCAAGGAAAAAAATATTTCATAAAATTTCTACTTGAAAAATAATTATACCTCAGGAATCTCTTTAAATGCAGAAAAAAAAAACCTACTTAAATTTAAGCCTCATATAACTGTTTACATTATTTTTTATTTACTGACTCATTCTTTATATCATTCATCTAAAGCATTTATTTCTCTCACCTACATAGTTCGTGTAGGCTAAATGCTTTGCAGTTTAGCTGCCTTTTAGGTTTCTCTTTGTCTTTGTATTTAAATTTTTTAATGCTTATTTGAATAGGCCAGCAGAAAGCCAAATCAATACTTACATTAAAATGTTATACTTTGATAGAAAAGCTGATTAGCAAAACAAAACTAAGTTGTATGTTTCGCTTTAATGATCACTGAAATTCTAAGCCTTTGGGGCAATTAGAGAATATTAGAGACAGACAAGGTCTTCTAAAAACACATCAATTATAAAACAAAACTGCAGGAAAACTGTTGCTTTATACAAAGAAAATGAAAATGTATCTAGGCAACAAAATAAGCCAAAAAAAAAAATTTTAGCCAAATTAGCATGGACTTTATAAACATGATTCTTCTTCCAAGAACCAGGGATAAAAAAAGAGCATTAAGAAGGACTTAATGAAGACAGAACATTAAAAGATAATGAACCTTAAGCACACGTTATAACGTCCAATTTTCAGATATACAAGTTCCCTAAGGCCTTTAAATGTCACATACATATGTGTATGCGTGTACACACAGAATATACACACATACATATACATGTGTATACATATATACACTTATATATATATGTGGTGGCATAGCAAGAGATTATGTGACTTTGAATAAATTTTTATATTCAGGAAGTCTATGTTAATTCTTAGGGGATGAAAGTTAATTTAGGGGAATTTCGATTCATGCAAAAAAAAAGGAGGAAACCTTGGCGGTGTGTAGAAAGGCTACAGACAAATTCTGCTGAGCATATTCAATTAAGTTTGTGCTCGTTCTTGAGAAGGGGTTTTTATTTTTCCAGGGCTCTACTCGGTAAGCAGAGCTAAATGCCTAAAAATGTTATTACTAAGACAAAGAAAGTTCTATGCTGAGACAACTACAAACAATACTGGGCGTGGAAAAAAAAGGTAGAGAAAGGGTCAGTAGCACTGAAATCTCAATACAGATTACTAGAAGAAAAAGCAAATGAAGAGAAAAAGTAATAATAATCAGAAAGAAGCCAAAGTGCTCTCTTCACAGCAATAACATGAAAAGGTGCTTCAATTGCATGCTGAATTATTACAGACCAAGAGTGATAGCCAAATTAATAACTTCATCAAAACCTTACAGCTCCAAAAATCAAAAGTGGATCCACTGAGTAAAAATCTATTGTGGATCGATGTAAGAAAACATTTTCTGGTAACTAGAGATCAAATATGGTACAGGTTGCCTATGGCAACAACAACCCACCCATATCCTGAAGTGTTCAAAAGGCTGCGGAGTAGTGCTACCATCGACGGCTTGAAAGATGCAAGACTAGGGATTCTAATCATGATTTCTCATTACATCTGTCTGTTTGGCCAATAAGCCATAAGAGTTAAAAATAAAAAAGTCATTTTTTGAAAGTCAGAGCTATTTTAGAGGACTTCTTAATGTAAAAGTTCTTTTCTAGCCTAAAATCAAAACTTTTGTGAAAGTATAAAGTAGTATTTGTAGTAAATAAATGGTTACTTTTATAGACATCAACTTATGTTGATTTTTAAATATGTAACATTTTTATATATACTTGATAAAGATGACAATTTTTCCTGGCAAGTCATAAGAAAATATATTAATTTTTAATTTACAGAACTTTTAATTGAAGGAAGTTGCTTAATAGCAAATCAAAAATATTTGCTTAAGAAATGGGGATGTGACCACATACCAAATCAAACTTTTAATTATTTCATTTCTTTGTACATTGTGGTTTTAATGAGGGAGAACAAATGATTATAGAACAAACAAAAATGAATTTCATTGTACAATTTATCATATCACATCTGATACCTCTCATTAACTCAAATAGTTATGGGTATAAGAAGCAAACTGTGTACATGTAAAAAGACAATCTGATTTTAAGCAATGTCTTCCCACCAGCAAAATGAAAATGTTATCAGCAGCTAAAATATACATAAGCGAGCTACAAAGCTTGAGAGAAAATAGTTTTAAGAAGCAAACTATATTTCCCTATTCATATTTTTCAAAATACCTATGCAGGAAAGATATTGTAAACAGCACGAATAACATGTTATGCTTCCTGACTCAGAGTAACCAAATTCTCAAAATTACAGTACGACTTTGTCAGAGAACAGAAGAGAAACGTTAAATGAACAATTTTAGAAATGTAAAAGAAAATATAGAATGTAATTAAAAACCTGAGTTTTTATTTGTAGAATCTTCTAGGTTCTCAGCATTTGAAGTGGCTAAATTTTGGTCTAGAGCTACAACAGCCCTTTTATCTTCGTATGTTCTTGCATCTGGGTTATGGTAGGCATCTACATTTTGTCTGTGCATCCTATTCAAATCAGCTGAGAGGGAAAAATAAGCCGTTTATTTCAATAAATACATTTCTATAATTACTATGCTTAATACATTTTCTTAAAATAGGGAATCTGAGAGAAAAACAATAGAACAGAGCTGGAATAATTCAATGACATCTTGGTGCCCTGAAAAAGGAAACAAAATTACTAAAACATGAGGTTAAAAAAAAATAACTTTACATAATAAACTCAAAATCAGTATAGAATTTAGAATATGCAAATCTTTGAGAACCCATAAAAACCATATTTATATCTATTTATTTCAGAATATGGAATCTCTTTAATATACAAAAATATAGCAACAACTCAAAACAAGCCACAATGAAATTTACCCAACGTCATTAGCGTTCCTAATGAAAAAATATAATCACGTGGAGTTTTAAAATACATGCACAAATTCTTTGACAATCCTCCCTTAAAAGATGGATGGAGCTTGATCTCCCTCCCCTTGAGTGTGGACCAGAGTTTATAGCTCACTCTTATAAACAGGATATTGCAGAATGATGATATACAACTTCCGAGGCTACTTCTTAAAATGTGTTGTTTCCACGTCACTTAATCTACTGCATCACTCACTCTGAAGAAAGCCAGCTATCCTTATTACAAGGATACTGAGGGGCCCTATGGAGAGGTCCATGTGACCAAAAACTGAGGCCTCCTGAGCCATATTGAAAATGGACTCCCGTCCCAGTCGAGCCTTCAAATGACCAGAGCCTACATCCTGACATCTTGAACTGCAACTTCAGGAGAGATCCTGAGACAAAACCACCCAGCTAAACTATACAAATTATTGACCCGCAGAACTGCAAGATAATAAATGTTCATTTTTTTAAAACACTACATGTTGGGGTAATCACTTATACAGCAATAGACATCACACACACGGCAAAAATCTGAGCATGTCGGACTGGGTCGAACAACCAATCTTCAAAACAGACCTGAGTGACTGAAGAACTCAAAAGTTTTAACAAACAAAAAGCTGTTCTCTATGAACAACTTGGATAATATGGCAGCAGTGAAAGCAAACTTAAACCTGGATATAAGTATTTATCAGGAAGTCTAGTATGTTCGAGGATGTATTTTCAACATGAATCACAATCAGAATACCAGATAGAACATGGCAAATGACATGTGAATGTTACCAAGGAGAATGAGAGTTCAAAATCAAGACAGGTTGAACTCAGACACCGAGTAGGATGGGTGGGGAAAGCATAATGAAACAGAATGAAGTGAGAAACAAGGATGTTCTGGCAACACTGAAGTGGTCCAGCTTGACTAGAGCACAAAATACACGGAAAAGAGCAATGAGAAATAAGATCGGAAACTGCAGATTGGATGCCTATTCTGGAACATTCTAAAACACAAGCAGATGATTCTCAGTTCTATTCTGCAAATGGTGGTGGAGAGCATTCTGTTGGTTATAGAAGTAGAACTAATAATAATGGCAGCTAACATTTTTATATTCTATATAATAACCTATATGATTATACTACTTTCACCCCAGTATTATAGATGACAAAATGAAACTAAATTAATTTGCTCAAAGACCACAAGGCCAGTAAGTGGCAGAACAAGAATGTGAACTCAGATAGTGACATTCCAGAGTCCCAAATAATTTTTGAGTATGCAACAATACAATTGGTTGTACATTTGATACATATGGCTTAGATGTGAAAAACAAAGAAGAATGAAGAAGTTATGAGAAAATGGCAAGAACCTAGACAAGACATAATAAATTTCAACTATGATGAAGTATGAATGAAAATGAAGAGAATTCAAAGAACACTGAAGAGGGAGAACTTATACGTTAGGCTTATTAATCAACTCAATATGGGGAGTCAAAAGAACTCTGCATTTCTTAGTTTGAATGATCAAAATTATGATGCATTTACAGAAAAAGAGGAGCTGGATTTACAAAGCGAAATTTGATTTTGCGTGCTAGGTCTACATAATCCATCAAACGTCAGGTGCAGAGATGCAGAAGACAGGCTGGAAATGAAGTAGTTTTAAAAGTGGTCAGGGGCAAAGAAAGAGATGTGAAGACCGTCCACAGAGTGGGCCTAAAGAGAAACACAGGAGCAGGAGAGATGAGGTGGGAGAGAATGAATGGGGAGGAAGAGCACGCCAACTCAAGGAACACACAGCATGAGAAGACAGTCCTCAAATAAAGATCATGTTTACAGACCTAGAAGCGTTTAACCTGGATCACAATACACATATCCAATAAATGTCAGCTGAAGAGGGGACAGCCTCTGAGAGAGTGCACAGGGCTTAAAGGAAGGAAAGAACGAACTGTCAACCTAGTTCAAAGAGAATGAGGGCTGAGTACAAAACATTACACTGGAAATCAGGACATCAATCATTTCTGAAAATGTAGCATCAGCAGAGCGATGGGACCTAGAAGCTATATTATGGAATAGAAGTACTAACAGGGTGATTAGATTGCGGCAACAAGCAGAGTACTTTTTAATGTATTTTATATGATAAAAGAAGTACAACATGGACAGAGCTCTGTCTGTGTTTAAGAGCAGAGCTCTGTCTGTGTTTAAGAATACAAGTAACCCAAGTATGTTCAGAGGTATAAGGGAAGAAATGAGTAGAAAACTGAAAATGTAAGAGAGAAGGGACTGGGTGAAATCACAGAGAAAAGCTGATTACAAGAAAATTACCCAATAGCAAGGACTAGTAAAGCAAGTACTAGCTAGGTGCTCCAGAAATCATCATCAAATCCTGAATCTATCTGAATTTGGGAGGGAAATGAAAATAGATGATGGGGAAAGTTGAGGTTATCGACTACTAACTATAGTCCCTAAAGTCACAGAAACAAAACCAATTTAACTCAAATAGGAAATCAATCATTTCATTGTCATTCAATTCACTAGAATAGCATAAGACCAGACTATATGAGAATCACTATGAATATTACATACAATATTCTATTTTCTATTATAAGAGTGCAGTACATCGCAGTCTCTCCTTCCAGATGATACCCACAGCTGCGATTCTGCTGCCAAACTAGTGAATGCTTAGGGAATGAAATCTCATTTTGGTATTCACCTGCACAAATAATAAATTAAGATATAAATACCCCATAAGGAAACAAACAAAATGATAGGCTTCGAAATCAGTAACATGTTATAATTTACTGTTCTGATTACACATGGTCTTCTCACTTAGAATAGTCAATGTATTTATATAAAAGGAAAATTAATTTCAGCAGAGTACATAATTATCAGGATTTAAGACTATCAGATTCAGCAATCAAAACAAATCCATATTGATTTTTATTGAAAAAAATAATTAAGAAATTAAAATTGATTTGTCAATCAATTGGTCACTCTATCTTTTCGTGAGATAGTACAAAATCAGGTTTGAAATAGGCTAAAAATGAAAATAAAAAAGGCACTTTGGTCGAGTGTAATAGGCCAACTGCACAAAGATGTCACTAAACGGGGGTTTTATTTCTAATGTAAATCATCATGTTTAGTATAAAACTGGTATTATAAGAATAATTCTACAACAAACAGAATTACAAAAGAAAATGTCACAGATTGACAAGTAGGAAAAATAATTCTACTCCCTGAACAACTTATCAAACCAAGGATAAATTATATGATATCTATAGGTAAATAATACATAAACGGTACTTTATTTTTTCATTACTTAATTTATAATCTTTATTTTTTCAATAAACAAATGAATATTTTGATATTAAAATTAAATTTAAAAGTTATTTGCTTTTTACTATGGTAGAAAATACAAAACATTTTAAAGAAAATGGCTAAGATACATTAACTATTACTATAGGCCCACTATGATTCAGCAATCCATGGCTGACATACCAACTCATTTACATTGAGTCAATTCAAAGGACTAAAGAATATTTCCAACTCTGGTACTACACATTTCAAAGTTAACTCAATTTAAAATAGAGACACTTACTTTTAGAAATCAGTCTCTAAGACAAATAAAATAATCTAAATGGTGGCTCATAAAATAAATCTCATAAATTTAAAAATGAAATAACAAAAAGTATAATCTCTAAACAAAATAAAATATACACTAGAAGTGAATAAAAGAAAGCCATCTGGAAAATGCCCAGATATTTAGAATTTTAAAAACTCACTTCTAAATAATCAAGTCAAAGAAAAATCACAAAAAAGATTAGAAAATTGAATGAAAATGAAAAGACAACATTTTGAATTTGTGAGATACAGTTAAAACAGTAAGTACCCACAGAGAAATCTGTAGTTTTTGAATACATTTATTAGAAAATAATAATAATAATGTCTCAAGTTATAATCTAAGTTTCCACATTAAGAAATTAAAAAGAAGATTAAGCACAAAGCAAACCAAAAGAAAATAGTAAAGAACAGAAATCAGTAAAACAGGAAAAGAACGATAGAAAAACCAATGAAAATAAAAGCTGGTTCTATGAAAATATCTATAAAATAAATAAATATCTGCCAGACTGTTTAAGAAACAAAGAGAATATACAAATTATAAATATCAGGAATGAAAAAGGAGCCATCATTGTAGATCTTACAGACACTGAAAAATAATGAAATATTATTAACTTTATACCAATAAATTCAAAAACAGATGAAATTGGTAAATTCTTGAAATGATTCAAAACACTAAAGTTCACACAAGAAGAAATAAACTGAATATCTATTTACTAAAGAAACAGAATTCATAGTTTAAAACCTTCCCAAAGAAAATTCTGAGCCCAGATGGCTTTGTTGGTAAATTTGACCAATAGAAGAGGAAACTTCCCAACTCGTGCTGTGAGGCCAGCATTATCCTGATGCCAAAATCAGACAACGCGGTAAGGAAAGAAAAACAACAGCCATGCCACCCTGAACATGCCTGATCCCGTCTGATCTTGGAAGCTAAGCAGGGTCGGGCCTGATTAGTACTTGGATGGGAGACCACCTAAGAAGACCAGGTGCTGTGGGTGTTAAAAAAAAAAAAGAAAGAAAGAAAGAAAGAAAAACAAATATCCTTATGATCCCAGATACAAAAATCTCTAGCAAAATATTAGCAAATCAAATTCTACAACACATAAAAAAGACAAGAGTATGACTAAATAGGGTTTATGCCAGATGAAAAACTAGTTCAAGATTCAAAATAAATCAATGTAATCCACCATATAGCGACAGAGTAAAAAAGACAAGATTATCATTTCAAAAGATGTAGAAGAAATTAGACAATCACAAGAAATGGATAAATTCCTAGAAACATACAACCTTATAAGACAAATATCCTAGACCCAATGTAAAAAAAAAAAAAAAATCTGAAAAAACTTAACAGGTAACATTACACTAAATGGGAAAGACTGAATGCTTTCTACCTAAAATCATGGACAAGACAAGGATGTCTGCTCTATTAATTTTCAAACATTGTACAGGAGTTCCTAACCAGTGAGAAAGGCAAATAAAATAAGAAAAGCATTCAGACTGAAAAAGAAAAAGTAAAACTGTTTGCGAATAACATGACCATCTACATTAAAAAATCTCAAAGCATATACAAAAAAAAACTACTAAAACTAATGAGTTCAAAAGGGCAATATACAAAAAGCAACTGTTTCTGTAAATTAGTAATGAACAAATTGATATATATTTTTAATGTATCATTTAAAATAGCATCAAAATTCGTGAAACACTTAGGGATGCAATTAACAAAATATAAGATCTGAAAACTACAAAGTACTGCTAAGAGAAGTTAACTGAAAGTAATAAGTGGATAAATATTCCACATTCATGGATCAAAAGACTCAATACTGCCAGCTGTTCCAAAACTGATGCTATCCCAATGACAATCCCTCCACAACTTTTTGTTGAGGTTGAGAAGAAATATCACTACACATTTAAAAGAATGGCTAAAATTTTAAAGATGAACAATTTCAAGTGCTGATAAGGATTCAGAGCAACTGAAAACCGCGTGCTTTGCTGGTGGGAATGCGAAATGACACAACCACTTTGAAAAAAGGTCTGGCAGTTTCTTACAAAGTTAACATGCACTTACTATATGTCTCAGCAACTCCATTCCTAGGCATTTACCCAAAAGAAATGAAAACTTATGACCACACGAAGACCTAGAAGTGACTGTTTACAACTTTATTCATAATAGCCTTAAACTGTAAAAAACACAAATGTCCATGAACTGGTAAACGGATAAACAACTGTGGTACCTCCACACAATGAAAAACTATTCACTGATAAAAAGAAATAATCTGCTGGCATATACAACAACAAGGATAAAGCTCAAAAACATTAAACGGAGAGGAAAATGTCGATACGAAGGCAATATTATCATGAGTGCTACTCAGAAACCGGCAGGAATATAGGACCAGATAATCTGTAAATGTTTTATATCTTGACTGTAGCACTGATTACTAGAATCAGTTGTTGAAACTCATTAAACAATATACTTAAAAAGTATATTTTATTATACGCAAATTGTGTCTCAATAAACAACCTAAAAAAACAAATCTAACTGGAGAAAATACAATACATAAAAGAATACAAATATTTAACCAAATGTATGAAGAAATGCTTAATCTCACTATTCATCCATTAGAACTATAAGATACTTTTGCTATCTTTCAAATTGTTTTTTTTTCTCTTGAGGTACAGTTTCTTAAAATTTTAACATATGATATTCATGTATCATCACCATAATCGGATACAAAACAGTTCTAACATCCTAAAAAACTCTATCATACTATCTCTTTATATCTCTTTATAAAAGTTATATCTCTTTATATTTCTTTATAAAAGTTATTCTTTCTCTCAGCCATAACCCCTGGCAATCACTGATTTGTTCTCCATCCCTGTAGTTTAGTCATTTTGAGAATGTACAAGGATGTAACCTTTAGAGAGGTTTTCTTTCACTTAGACTTTGAGAGTCTTCCAAGCTGCTTTGTGTGACAAGAGTTCATTCTTTTTTATTGCTGAGTACTGTCCCATTGCATTAACGTACCAGTTTATCCATTCGCCCATTGAAAGACAGAACAGAATTAGCTTTTTATGAGAACTTGAATACGGAACTTTAATGAATAAAGAGCTGAGAAAGAAACAGATTTTAAGTGTAGAGCAAATAACAAAAACGAGAAGCATTTAATATGGTTGATGCTGTTACAACTGCATGGGTAACAGATTTTGATATTTTATTAAAAAATTCTTTCCCTTATAAAGATATCTTCCTTAGAGAGCTATGATAAGGGTGAACATTCAATTTCTTTAATTTCTTTGTAATAAAAGATCAAAGATAAAGGAGTAATCAGAAAAGCCACCATCTGAATTAAAGTTAGCCAATGGGATTATACGATTTTGGTCATCACAAGAAGGTAAAACAGAACACTGCTCTTCACTACATAATTCAAATATAACAGAAAAATTACGTTCCCTGCCTCTCTAAAATATAACAGACACATACAAGACAAGCCGATATTCTTTACATAATGAGTTTACTTGTTTGCAAAATACCATTAAAAAATAGTATCTGATAATATGGTGTACCTTTTCTATTTCATGGCATGACTATAGCATTAAAAAAGCAAACTAAATATTACTGCAAAATGAAAATCTTAGAATAGTTTGCTCCATTCCCATTAGATCAAGGAATTCTAAAACAGTATTTTATAATTCAATAACCCACACTTATCCTAACACTTCAACCAATTAAAAGACATACAGAACACCATATCTGTATTGTCTTAATTGGAAATAATCTTAGAGGCAAGCTAGAAAGTTCTAGGAAATTGTTCTATTCCAGTGTTTCCCAAAGTTTCAGTCATTTAGGCACCTCCTTCATGGTAACTGGTATGTTTTCTATCAATTAGCAATTTAAATTTACTGTGGCAAAGGCTGGCTAGATGCTGGTCAATCTCACGTGCTCCTCCTGGGCATTAAAAAAGCAAAGCCTCGCAGCTCCCGTGCGGTTAAGTTAGAACCCTGTAACTAGGTCTGAATCGCGAAACAAAGATAAACATGCTATTCCTCCACTCCTAGGCCAGGCTCCAACGAAATTCTCCACTTGTTCTCCCACTTCTGGGCCCTGACTGTGTAGCCAGAAGGGGAGGACTCTGAAATGGGGGAGTGACACGATGGACGAGGCCCTGATTCCTGAGCCACCTCTTGGAGGAGAAGCACCAGAATAGTCTCAGAATGTGACATACATGAGAAGTAACTTCTACTGCCTTGAGCCTTCAGCTACAGCATTTTTTGTTAAACAGCTAGAATAATACCTCTACTTTAAAAGGAAATGTTATAGTTCTATCCATAAATGGAAAACCAATGTTTTTTAATACATATTCGAAGATATTTAACCTTTTAAATATGAAATGTTTATCTATGTATCACCTAAAATCACATCATCTATAGAGAGTAAGCATCTTCAAAAACTATGATGAAAATATTTATGGAGTAAAGATAGAAAAAAAAGAGTTATCTCATTAATTTAAGTGGGCCTCAAATAGATTTCTTCTAAAAAGTCATCTTTAACAAAGAAACAAAGGCATGATACTTAAGAATTCTAATAACTCAATATCCAAAAAAATCTTCTGAATGTATCATTCAACTATCTCTAGGATAATGTAAAACACCTGAAGAACAACATGAAATCTAGTAAATAGTAAAAATCTATATTTTTACTATTATAATCGGTTTTTATGATTTATTTCTCATTTCTAATTAAACAATTTTCAAAAACAGTATCTTTACTTTCTCAGCTAAAAGCTAATCAGAGAGGATCCTACTGTATATAACGGGCTAGCTGTATGAAACCTCTCTTTTCCAAGAGCTTGTTGTGTGATTTCTAGATCAAACATTTCTGAAAGATAAATATGATTCTGCAACCTGCCAGCAAACTGCTGAGATCGTCTTTATTTTTAAAAGGGTCCTTGCAATGAGCAAGTATATGATATATAAGAATTGAACACATCCCTTGCCACACTATTCCACATCGGTTACTTTAAAGCTACACAAAACGAACAAAGTTAAAAAAAAAATTGTAATAAGAGTTTTATGATTTTTACTAGGAAACTTTTTTAAATTCTCGGTACAATTTTAGGTAAAAACTTACCAAATAACATGAGCTTTTCTCTGCAATTGAGTTATTATCACCAGAGGATGGACAGTTTGTAGTAAAAACAAGCACTCTGAAGGAGAAAGGCTTTCTAACCTGTTGTTATATTCATTACCAAATGACCTCTTTTGCAGTAAGCTACATAAATAGAGATCTTGCCTTATAGGCTATGATTCCAGAACCCTTCTTCCTACTCCCATTATTTTTGAAAGTTAAAAAAAAGTTTCTTTTAAAAACAACAAATCCATGGAGATAACATACTTATCAGGTTTCCCTGGGCGTCCCTGAGCGGGGCTCCACCTCCGCCTTTTCCCCAGGGGTTGTAGCTTCTCATTTCCGCTTCCAGCTTCGCTTCGTAGTCTTCCTTTTCCTCACGTTCCTTCTTCCTTCTTTCTTCTCTTTCCCGAATCTTGACAACATAAAAAACATTCACATTAAGTGCTGACGAGTATTGTGATATAAAAAGTTAGTGTTAATATCAGATTTTATTTTATTTTTCTTATTAGAGAAAAAAAACTGGATTTTTTTTTCAGTATGCTTCACTATAAAATTTAATATCACAAATATATGTAACACCCAATTTTAAAACACTTCGATGGTGGGAGTATATGGCTGCGGTTCCCTCACATGATGCCACTAGAGTCCTTTCCAGCCACTGATGCCACTTTGGGCTAAGCCAACTCCTCCCTCCCACCCCCAGTGTCTGCCTAACTACCCTCCCTAACCTCCCCAGTTTTGTAGGGACCAATAGCATCTCCCTACTTTCCTTTATCATCTATCTTTCATGGGACCTGGCCAGCCACAAACTACGCTCCACTCCTCACCAGAACTACTCTACCCTGGGCAAACCCCATTCCCAGAATTCATAGAGGTAGAAAGTTCAAAGCTCTTTGGGGAATACCAGGCTACTTAAAGTACAACTCTATGCAAGCACACAAAACAAACAAAGTCTTATCATCAAGTGCAGGTACAGGCTTGTTCTCTAGAGACATACAGATAGGCAATGAACTAGTATGTATATTTTGGAAATTTACTTTTGAAATTATAACCAAATAAATGGAAAATATAAGCAACCACTCCAGCAAGGCCAAGGAAGTCATCACATACACAAGGTAAATTCTAGACTTAGGAAATCTAGTTTTTTCGGTGGTGTTAATATACTTATTTGAAACAGATAAATTCAGTCTTTTATTCTGTAGAATACTAACATATAAAAAATGATGTTGGTAATTCTATACCTTTAAAAAAATCCATGTTTCAAGGAGGTTGCACATGTTAAAAAAATGAACAAAAGGAGCTTTAGAAGAAATCTAAGTGGAACTTCACAGAAAAGTACTACCTCAGGTGGACGGGAGTCCTAGGGTCTTCTCAGAGATGTGGGCATTCCCCACCAAACCACACATTTTACTCTAGTAAATTCTCTTCAAACTCTGCAAACTACACAGAACCCCTAATTCTCCTCCCTAAAAGGGTCCTGCCTCTTTCTGCCCCTATCTCAGTTCACTGCTTCATTATTCTCCTAAATTACAGCACTCAGAATCACCTTCAAGCCCTTTCTCATCCCCTATATCTGAGTCCCATCACTGAAACCCCGGAACTGTCTCTTGGATATCCTTCCCATCTCCCACCACCCCCAAAAAACAGTTTCTCTGCCATATTTCTTTCCTAATCGTCTACATCACAACCAGATAATCTTCCTGAAAGCCAAATGCATAACATGCATCTCAAATATCCACAACCAGGTGAAGCCCTTCTAACTGCTCGGGCAAGTATTCTCCCTATCCTACCTGCCAGTCTACCTGCATCAAAACCTGTCATAATGAAGTATAAGTAACTGGCATCTTTTTTTCTCCTCTGCCATACTCTGAAGTCTAAAGGACTACTGTGCTAACACACAAAAGGAATGAACAAATGAATGAATGAATCAGTAACGAATACCTGCTGCTGCAAAGCTTGCTGGTAAGACTGAAGTGACTGTTTAGAAGGCTTTGGTTTATCCTCAAAAAACAAGCCAGAATTTACTGCTCGATCACTTGTAATTTTCAATTCATTCTGTCCAACCGTGTTCCTACATTAAATACACAATTAATAATTTGAATCCATCTATGAAGCAAGAAGACAATGCAACACTCCTTTGAAATAGCAAGGTATATAAGTAGTACATTTAAAAGTAGGGAGGGATTTCTCTGTAGGTCAGAGAGAAAGCCTGAAGTAAAGGATCCTCCCTAAGTTCTTCCCCGTCTCTGCTTTCATAATCCACCGAACTGAAATTTACAGGATCTAGTTCTTGACCTAGGTGGTAGCTACATGGAAATGAAAACGATTTGTGGTAATTCATCAAGCAACAGACACATGACTTATACACTTTTCTGAATGCATAGTAATAACAATACAGTGAAAGTCTCTCAAATAATATAACTAGTGACTTACTTAATAAATATACTCCAATATCAAGTAATAGCTTCTTAGCCATTTGAAGAATAAAACAATATAATCATAGAAAAAAGTCTGACTGTATAAGCAATCAAAAAATTAAAAATTCAAAACATTATCATGGTTATATAAATTTCATGCAATAAAGTGCTATTTGTCTTACATACAACATGTTAAAGTACAGGAATGCAACGACTTTGAAGAAAACAATACATTTAAAAAAATCTGCATTATAAAAGGTAAGCATTAGTTTTATAATAAAATTATAGTTATAAAAAAGGGACTACAGAAGGCATCTCATCTCCAAAAACATCATCATCATCACTTTAAATGAGTTCCCTTTGTGTATTCAACTTATCCAATTTATTTACAATCTTCGATTAGGATAAACAGACATGTTTGTGTATACTGTCACACTGAATTATGAATGGGTAAAAAGGAAAACGAGAACCAGAGCAAATGACTCCTAACAATTAAACTTTTTCAGAGCAAGAGGGCTATGTGTGTTAATGAATAAAGAAGGTTGAAAATGCTTATCTGAGTAAGCAATCTCTCAAAGCAGCCGCTATAAATTACATGGTGGACAGGTTTCAGTATCGCACTCATTTTTCTTCCTGTTTCTTACCCCTCACTCAATGATCCAAATTCTTGATCTTTACTTATCAACTCCTCCCTGCTCAAGATGGAAGGAATTTAGGTATGTATGTACAGTCGGATCAGAGGGGAGGAAGGAGAGAAATGACAGGCCTGGTAATTACACAACTCAATGATTTTCAGTGAATTTACAGAGTTGCACAACGATCTCCACCATCTAGTTTTAAGACTTTTCCATAACCCCAAAATATCCCTCACACCCACACGCCACCAACCCCTGCCCGCACCAACCACAGGCGATCACTAAGTGGCCTGCTTTCTGTCTCTACAGTTTTGCTCTTTCTGGACATTTCGTACAAATGAAAACATACAATACAAATGGATTCTTTCACTTACAATACTTTCGAGTTATGCTGTAGCATACATCAACAGTTCATTTTTATTGAACAGTATTTCATTGTATGGACATAACACATTTTGTTTATCCATTTGCTAGCTAATGGACATTTGAACTATTTATATTTTTTAGTTACCATGAATAATACTGTTATAAACATTCACACTGAAGTCTTTGTGCATACATGTATGTTCGTTTCTCTTAAGTATACGCCTAGAAGTGAAATTACAGTATTGTATAAGTACATGCTTAACTTTTCAAGAAACTGCCATTTCCTGCAACTACTTTTTATATATTGATTTTATTCAGCAATTCTACTTAAAATTCCCATTATTTCTAATATTTTATCTGTATATTCTTTTGCAAATAATATCAGTTTTCTTTCTTCCTTCCTAATCCTTCTCCCTTCCTCCTTCCTTCCTTCTTATTTTTAACCTTGCTACAATTATTGGGCACTAAAAGGAAGTGGTGATAAGAATACTAGTCATACTGTCAATCTCAAAAAGAATGTTTTAAACATATCACCATTAATTAAAATATATGATGTAGGTTTTTCATGTTTACACCTTTCCCAAGTAGGTTCCCCTCGAACCTATTTTGTTAATCACTAATGGATACTAAATTTTATAATGCTTTCCCTGTGTCTATTAAGATTACCATATAGCTTTCTTCTTTAGTCTGTTAATGACATATTACAGTAATTGCTAACTAACACCAATTAGCACTCAGTATATATCAGACTTTATTCTAGATGCTTTACATATTTTAATTCATTCAATTCTCAGAGTAACCTTATGAGCTGATACCATTATTATCCCAAATAACAAAGAAGGAACAGAAGAAACGTGCTTCAAGTTAATTAGTAAAACGAGGATTCAAACCAAGACACTTCCCTGCAAAGTCCATACTCTTAACTGACAGGCAGTATTACATTGTCATCCTACCTTCCAGAGTAATTCCAACTTGGGAATTACTTTTTTACATTATGAGGTTCAATTTATCTATGTTCATGAGTAAGACTAGCCTATAACTTTCCACTTTCATATGGACTTGTCAGGTTTGAGTATAAAGATTATGACAGTCTCATAATAACTGAAGAATTCCCTCTTATTCTATACTCTGCATTAGCTTGTATAAGATTAATTTCTTTTCCTCGAATGTTTGGTATAATTTACCACTCCATCTAGACCTGGAATTGATTTTGTGTGAAGATTTGAGACTAATGACTCAACTTTTTATTTTTCTTAACAGTTTTGATATTATTCAATAGGTTTTTCTTCTTGAGTCAGTTTTTACTGTTAAATTTTAATAAGAATTTTTTTCTTCACTTAATTTCCAAATTCACTGACATAAAATTTATAATATATCCTTATTGTCTTTTTAAGGTTCATTACAACTATAGCTGTCATTTTAGAATTGACATAGAATTTTTAAATTGTAAAAATTTAGAAATGATAATTTTTTCATCTCTAATAGTTCTTAGTTATTCTTCTTGCTCTTGATTTGACAATAGAAAATTGTCAGTTTTTTTATATTAATGTTTTCAAGGGACCTACTTTAGACTGTTAATCCTCTATACTGTATGTTTCTATTTCATTAATTTCCATTCTCTTCTTTCTTTCCTTACTTCTTTGGATTTACTTTGCTGTTCTTTTTCTCACTTTTTAGATACCTGATTATTTTAATTTTCATCCTATTTTATGTATTTTCTAAAATTGCTCCCTGTTTTCTAATTTCTAATATATGGAAAAATGTTAAAACTATTTTAAAAATTGATTTCTACCTTAAATGGTGCATAGGATATGAGTCAAATAAAATTTACTCAACTTTAAGGACTAGAATATGGTGAGTTTTATAAATTTATTCCTATTAGCAAAAATAGATATTCTGAAGTTTAGGGTACATTTCTATATATTTCCATTAGGATATCCTTGTTAAGTGAATTCTTCTATAAACTTACTATTCTCTGCTTCATCTATCACTTATAGAAAGTAGTAATAAACTCTCACACTTAGATTCCATATTTATCTACTTTTACCTGTAACTCTTTAAAATTTTGCTCCATACATCTTAAGACCATGTTTTTAGGTACATAAAATTTTCTATTATATTATCTTTATAAGGGGATCCTTTCTGTCATAAAGCTTTATGACTGAAAAATCCATTTTATAACTAGACAAACTTATTTTAATTCATATTCTCCTAGTATATCCGTATCTTTTTGCTTTCAACTTTTCTACACTTATATAAGTAACGTGTACCTGGAGTTTGCTTTTGTATCCAGTATGAAAAAAGTTCTCTTTGAAGGAGATTCTTAACCATTTACAAATATCAAATTTAAGTTTGCCATTTAATTTTGACTTAAAATCAAGTTAAACAGTCTCCTTAAATCTGTTTTTTTTTTCCTTTTTGATTTTTTTTCTTCTAAGACATTAGAAAGTTGCACCTTTGTCCATGTACTTTATGTGGTTACTCTAGAAACATAATACTTATACTTATCAAAGACTAAAACTAACTGAAATCTTTACTATCTTCTCAAATGATACAAAGATTTTTAAACTCATTAACTTCTCCTTTTAACCCCTTCCAAATTATATGCTATTCCTATTATTCTTCATTTTACTTACTTTTAAACCTATAATAATTTTGCGTAAATATTTCTTTAATTCCATCCATGTATTTACCACTTTTTCCTTCCACTCCTTTGTGCAACTCAAGACCTTCCCTTTACGACCTTCTTCCTTCTGAATTTAGAATTTCGTTTACTTGGGGTCTGCTAATTTCAGTTGTTTCTCTCAAAATATTTTAAATTCAGTCTAATTTATGAAAAATAATCTTCTAAACATAGAATAATCTCAACACACTGACGGTATCTTTAGTTATCTTCTGAATTCCTTCCTAGAGTTTCTTTGAAAATAATGGACAAATGAATAAAGAAAATGTGGTATATCCATACAACAGAGTATTAGCCTTGAAAAAGAAAGAAATCCTGTCACGTGTTACAACACGGATGAACCTTGAGAACATAATGGTAAGTAAAATAACAGACACAAAAAGACAAATACTGTATATTCCAGTTTTAGAGGTGCCTAAGTAAGTCAGATTCAAAGACACAGGTCGCAGAACCCTGGCTGCCAGGGCCCAGGGAAAGCAGGACTAGAGAGATGTCATTTAACAGGTATAGAGTTTCAGTTTCACAAGACAAAAAGAGTTCTGGAAATGGATAGTTGCACAACAATATGAATGTACTTAACGCTGCCAAACTATACACTAAAAGTTCTTTACATGGTAAATTTTATGTGTATTTTACCACAAAAAAAAAAAAAACCTGAAAAAAATTAAGATGGTAATACTGACTAAACAGATCTACAGATTATACATAATTTCTATCAAAATCTCAACTGCTTTTTTTGCAGAAATTGGCAAGCTGATTCTAAAATTCACATGGCAATGCAAAAGACCTAGCTAGAATAGCCCAAACAACCTTGGAAAAGAAAAACGAATTTCAGCACTACAATAATCAAGTGCTATCGCCATAAGGACTGATGCATAGATAAATGGAAAGGAACAGAAAATCCCAGAAACAGACCCACACAAATACGACCAAATGATCTGACAAAGGTGCAAAGCAAGTCAACGGAAGAAAAATAATCTTATTAGCAAATAGTGCTGGGAGCCAATGACATCCATAGACCAAAAAACAAAAAGACCTTTGATCTAAGTCTCATATCTTATCCAAAAATTAACTCAAAATGGATCATAAACTTAAATGTAAAATTATAAACCTTTTAGGGAAAAGAAAAAACAAGAAAAAAATCTTTGGAATCTAGGCCTAGGAAAGCGTACCTAAACTTGACACTGAAAGCATGATCTAGAAAAGGAAAATCTGATATACTGGACTTGATCAAAATTTAAAACTTTTACTCTATGAAAGACCCTGCAAAAAGAATAAAAAGACAAGCTTTATATTGACAGAAAATATTTGCAAATCGTATATCTGACAAAGAACTAGTATTTAAGATATATATTAAAAAATCTCAAAATTCAGTAAAAAAAAATAAATCCTCCCATTAAAAAAAAATAAATCCTCCCATTAGAAAACATGCAAAAGACATCAAGAGACGTTTCATTGAAGATTTATAGATGGTAAATAAACGCATGAAAAGATGTTCAACATCATTATCATTATGAAAATGTAAACAAAATCCCAATGATATAACACTAAGCACCTATCAGAACAACATAAACAAGAGTCACAACACCAAATGCTGGTGAACATATGAAAGAAACCAAATTCTTAATATAGTGCTGAAATAGTCTTTCTGAAAACGCTTTGGCAGTTTCCTACAAAACGAAACTTCTAACTACTATACAATCAAACAAGAACACTCTGGGCAAGTATCCTAAAGAAACAAAGGCTATGTTCATGCAAAAACCTATATGCAAATGTTTATAGTAGTTCTAGGCATAATAACTTAGATGGCCTTCAACGAGTGAATCGTTTAATACACTGTGGTACATCCATACCATGGAATGCTACTCAGCGATAAGAACAAATGAACTATTTATACATAAGACAATCTGGATGCATCTCTAAAGAATTATGCTGATTTTAAAGTCAACTCTTTAATCCCTTCTCCCTTTTTCATCTACTCCCCGACCCTCCCACCCCGGGTCTGGTAACCATCTCTGTATCTACGAATTTGTTCCATTTTGTTTATTTTGTTCTTTAGATTTCATGTGTAAGTAAAATAATATGACATGTCTTTCTCTGACTAACTCCACTCAGCACAACACCCTATAGGTCCATCCATGTTGTTGCAGATGGCAAGATGTCATTCTTTCTTACAACTGAGTAATATTCCCCTGTATATATGTACCACCTCTTCTTTACCCATTCATCCATTGATGGACACCCAAGTTGCCTCCATATCTTGGCTACTATAAATACTGCAGTAATGAACATATGGATTCACATATCTCTTCGAAGTAGTGTTTTGGGTTTCTTCAAATACCCAGAAAACAGTCATGGGGATGTGAAGTATAGCATAAGGAATATAGTCAATGATATTGTACTAACTGTGTATGGTATCAGATGGATACTAGATTTATCAGGTGATCACTTCGTAAGTTATATAAATGTCTAATCATTATGTTGTACATCTGAAACTAATATTGTATGCCAACTGTAAAAAAAAAATTTTTTTAAATTTAACCCCAAAAGGTTACATATTAAATGGTTCTATGAATTTAACATACTTAAAATGATATAGAAACGAAGAAGAGAACAGTTGTTGCTAGTGTCAAGGAGGAAGGCAGGGCAGGAGGGAACTAGGTACATCTATGAAAGGTACCGCCATAAGGAATCCTTGTGACAGGAACGTGTTCTACCTCTTGACTGGATCCTAAGCCGTACTTCTGGGTTGTGGTGTTGTACCACAGTTCTGCAAGATGTTAGCAAGGGCAGAAACTGGGTAAAGGGTACACAAGATGTCTCTATATTACTTCTAATGATTCCACCATGGGAATCTATAATTATCTCTAAATAAAAAGTTCAGTTTGAAAAAAAAAAATGACACTCATGAAAAAAACTGTTTATGATATACTATTAATTTTAAAAGCAGGTTATAGAACAGCATATACAATAACAATGTAATATCATTTTGGTATGTGTGTATTTTTATGAGTGTGTGTGTGTACATATAAAGATTTCCTGAATGCTTATTTAGATATGTCTATCTCTGGATGAATGAGATTTTAGGCAATTTCAATTTTTGCTCATGTTTGTTTATATTCTTATTTATCAATAATATGCATGCATGACTTTTCTAAAGAGAGAAAGTGAAGTTATTCTTAATTTTAAAATGTGCTTTCTACGAAACATTAACTTGAAAGCAATACTTTGAACATACTGGTTACGCAATAACTAGAAAGTAAAATAAGTTATACCTTCAGAAAAAAAGAATGAGTTGAGTAATACAGGTTCTACGGAAGACAAATTAATCTTGAAAGAAATTATTATTTTAACTAATGACTTACATAAGAGGTTGTGCTGGCTGGGGGACGACAGGTGCACTAACATAAGCTGCAGGCTGTACTCCCACCATTCCTGAACCATCTTAAAAAAAATAACAAACACATTTATTCCACAGTATCCATTTAATAACATTCATCTCTAAAAGAAAAGTCACATAACTGAACATGTTACCTAAGGAAAAAAATCCCTATTTCATTTTGAGTTAGGAGTTAACAAAGAACAATGCAAGAAAACACAATATAATTATTTCTTAAATCTACATAAAAAGGAAATAACTATGAAATATAACTGAGTTTTAAAACGGAACATTTATTAAATCAATAAATGTGTAATATTTAAATTAAGTAAAGCTATGCTTTTCTCATTTATATATTTATGGTTGCACAAAAAAACAATTTTCCTGACTGAACCCCTGGAAAAAAATGTTTACCCTATAGATAACTTACAGTAAGCAAGACTGGGATTCAAAGTATTCCTGGCTCCATAAAAATAGTATGCATCATCATAGGGAGTTCGATAGTTAGTAGCCAAAGGTGGTAGGATGGGAGGTGGAGGCAGAGGTGCAACCCTATATCAAAAGAAAATTGGAAAAACTCTTCTCATATTTCATTGCAGTTTTTTAAAATCAAGGTATTTTTTCAAAACTGTTACTCAAAATCTAATTGCTGCTTTAGAAAAAGCGACAACATTTACATAAGACAAAAACTTCAGATTTTGTTCAATCAGCTAGTCACACTATTCCAGTATCCTTGTCTCTCAGGAATACGACAGAAATAGACAATTTCTGTCTATTTCTGAATAGACAGAGTAGTAAACAAAACCATACAAGCAGACGCAGGGTGCTAGAGGAACATGGATCAGGGCCACTTAAAGCACGCAGGGGAGGAGAGCATGAGAGAGGCTTTCTACAAGAGGCGGTGCTTCAGCCATGCTGCTAGAGCAAGTTAGGAAGGACAGTTCAGGAAGAAAAGGCAAAGGGGAACAAAACAGGATTCCAAATGGTTTCATCTGGCTAGGAGAAGAGGTGCATTTTTTTTAACTCTAAAAATGTACTGTTCTCTCAAAGGAGGTTAACCATATGTGAAAAGGATACCACTTATATATCAACAGTAAAGTCTTGACATAATTTTTAGTATTTCGTAAAGTAAAAACTTTTACTTCAGCACTTCATTACTGATTAGGAAATATCACTATTTCCACCAAGGCAATATTTTCCAATAGTGAAAATGGAAAAGCTAAATTCATTTAGATGAACAGAAACAGAAAGGGGGCATCTTAGAAAGTTTGAACTTTTAAGTGCATCTTAACATGTTCTCCCTTGTTGTATACGTCAAAATAATCCTGAGGAGCTACGATGGCATTAAAGTTCTCTTCGGTCGTGAAATTTTCACATTTACTAGTCACTCAGTGTGTCTAACCTTACTAACCTCTCTCCACAGATACATAAACAAGCAGTTGAAAAATTGCTATGAAAAACTGTCAATATCATTAAATCTTACACTTTTACAGAGATTTATTTAAGATTTAATCCTCACAACAAACCTGTAATTGCAGATAAAGAAAATATATTACTATTCCACTTTTACAAATGACAAAATTAAAGTTCAATGAAGTTGTGGTTTGCCCAAAATCCAGACAAGGAAGTGAACCATTTTGATCCGTAAACCAATGTTGAGACCATCATACCATGCTCTGTAATTCCAACCCCACCTAGCCTCGAGTCAGGAAGCCACTGGATGAAACAAACAACACACCTGATAAATACAGTAAACAAAGTACCACAACTTGTTAGTAGTAAATAAAAGACCGAGTAGTAATAAAAGACTGGCAGAAAGTATAGCCCAGAGGACATCACTGATTAAAGACACTCCTACAATTAGTACATTAATAGTAAGCAAAAAATAAGTTGAAGTCCTGCTAAGAGAAGAAAGAGCAGCTCAGAAGGTATCAGTGTTAACAGGATTTCCCATACGTATAGTCTAGCACAGCAGGAGGCCCTTTACCGACAGAAATAAAATCTTCACTGTAATACCTAAATTACAGGTGTCATAATCTCAACAGTTTTCATTTTAGGTATTTGAGTTGCATAGCCTATAAGTAATCACAGAGAGAGTTAAAGGAAACAGAAGTTAAAGTGAAGTAAGGTATATAAAAGAGCCATGGTAGAAACTCTCTGCATAAACTGAAGGAATTATTCAATGTTTGCCAAGTGGAATTACAAAATTGAAGAAAACATATCTTTGCTATGTTAAAAGGTATTAAAAATATTCAAAAATATGACCTAAAACTAAATACTACGTGTACTTACGCATTCTAAAAATACTAAAGCATCTTTAAATAAAAGAATGTTATAAGGATTTCCCTTGTTTCTGTAATAACAGAGAAAAGGCCAACAACGAAAACAGATTTCAAGAGAAATTATCTGACAAAAGTCGTTAACTGTACAAAAATCTCTGAAGGTGAACATTATCTGCTTCAGCAAGTCCTTCTAAACGTAAAACATAATGACGCCTTACCTAATTCCCAAACATAAAACATTTTAAACAAGCACCTGGGAGCCACCATTTCACCAAGGGTGCTGCTGAGTCCACTGTGCAGATCTTCGTTTTGAGGTGGGACGGGAGGGGCAGATGGGGTGGACAAAGGAGGGAGAGGTGTCTGGAAAGCTACTCTGGGTCTTTCGGGTGGTATCGTTTCTTCATAGTGTCGTGGTGCCACACTAAACTGCTTTAGTCTATCAGGCTAAAATAAAGAAAAAATCTGTTTGTTACACAGAATCATAAATTTAAAAGTGGAAGGGACCTCAAAAGACTCTCTATCCCAGACTGCCAGCAGACACTTTAGTCACAGAATAAAAGAATTTTACAGCTATAAAAGATTTTGAAGATCTAAACTCTTATTTTATAAATTGAATAATTGAGGCTCCCTGAAAGTATAGAAATCATCTAACATCTTTCCAATAATTAATAATCAAGCAGTCTGGAGACAGATATTAATTCTAAATATAAAACTCTTTATTATACTGTAACACTATGCTGCTTCTCTATCCAACTGCCATTTCTGACATTAAAGTATTCTCCAGCAGAGTAAGCAAACGTTTTCTGTAAAGAGCCAGATAGTAAATATATCAGGCTTTTGCAGGCCATACTACTTGACTCAGCCATAGTGCTACAGCAGCCCAAAACAATATATAAACAAATCTGCTGCAATAAAACTTTATTTACAAAAATCGGCAGCAACTGGATTTGGCCAAAGGCTATACTTTGCTAACTCTTTCTCTAGAACACCATTTATGTGCCCTTTTCTAAGATTTGCACATCAAAGGCACCCTAAAAGTAATGGTTAACTATTGTATCTAATATTTTTATTTATTTATTCTCCTAAAGCAACTTGACACTTTCTAAAGACTGTTTCATTCAAACATAAATAAGGTTTCTCAAACACTAATGTAACTATAAATCCAAGGTTTAAAATGCCACCATATTACATTAAAAAGTTCAAAATTTAAAAAAAAGTTTTGATTATGAAAGCTATTTCAAAGGGTTTTTATTGAGAGAAGAAAATATATTTAACTTTGGAATTTACCTTTTCTTTCCAATCACGTTTTTCTTTCCCAGGAATGATTTCTCAGATTAACCTAAAAATTTTACTCTATGAGTAGTCAAAAAGCACACTTGGGAGTGATGCTGGTATAGTATTAAACTTTTCAAAACAGGTAACTCACAGGTTATACACTTAGCATTAGTAAAGGAAATCAAAAGTTGACTAAAGTTGAATAACTTTAAGTTGCTGTATTCTTTTCAAGAATGAACTTTTTAATGAAATTAAAGTTTCTTAGTCATCATTCAAAGATGAAACTAAAACTTGCCCTTAGCAAATTAAATTCTACGTATCTATAGAAAAAAGTACACTTTGAGCAGAGCAGTAAATTACCTTGTCCTTACTTAACTGCAATGATGTAAGTAATTCATTCCACTTAATGATGAGAATTGCAAAATTAAAGAATAAGGTTATTATCTCTTTAGTTTTACATTAAATAAAAATTACTAAAATGCTTAAAGACTAGAATTAAGGATTTTAGTTTCTTCGGAAACCAATCTAAGTGGTCAAGACATTCTCAAGGACAACAGTCACATCCATTATGAATTAAAAGATAACTTTCCCATGGAATAGTACATGTGAACATAGTAAAAAGGACTAATTAGAAAAGAACAAAACAAAACAAAAAATGATGCACATACGAAAAAGGAAAAATTGGTTCAGGGACACGAACGAGTTTAGTTTATCACCGTTCACGCTGGTCCCTCTTACATTCCATTCCCCCAGTGTCTTCTCTCTTCCTCCACCCGCTGCCGCATTTGAGGCATCTGAATGAGAGACTGAACATTAAAAGACGCCAAGAACCCTTACCGATTTCTCAGGGTCTTGTGCTCCAGAAGCTGCGACCCTGAGTTCCAAATCCTTTTCTCTAAAAAAAATCAAAGTTTTATATATTAAAAAGTTACAGTAAACACTACCAAAATCATTATCATTACTGAAACAAACTTATACACAAAGTCCATGCAATAACACCTCCAAATACGAATAATTCCTTTAAGCGACAGAAAAGTCTTAAATAATTCTGAAAACTAAACTTTCTGATTTGGTGCTAAGTAAACTAGGTTTCACATATAAACTGACTTGGAATAAGTACCTCTAAACCAGTCCCTGAGGTACTTCAAAGCCTAAGCAAATTCACACGGAATAATGTACAGAGAGGTAAAACAAAATCTTTACTTAGTGAAACAAAGTTCTTTTAGGGTACATGTATGTTTTCGGTTAGCAAAAAGAAGGGTAAAAAATTAAAAATTAATACCATACTTGCTAATAAGAGTTTTAAGAATACATTAACAAAGGCTAATATCACACAGTAGATATTGGCTTCCTCTGAGAGGAAAAACTAAAAATGATTAGGTCTCAAACTCTCCAGAATCAAGATAGCTATTCCTAATTTTAAACTGTATTAATATTTCATAGGTATTTCTACAAGATTATAAACACTGAGACTTTTAAACAATATAAATATCTGTAGATTTATCAATGATTACTTTATACTGTATATATATGTGTGTACCATTTTACACTGTTAAAAGATAAAATACTTTTATTTTGTATATCTTACTATATGTGGGATAATACAGTGGGCATGTAGATAACATGCCACCCTAAATGAATGACTGAAAAAATCAATGCAGATACGTAAAAGGCCTGTTTTAAATATATAGTCTCGTTTGTTATCTATGACAAAGAAAAGAACACTCTCATAGTATTTATTACCTTTGATTTACAATGTGCAGGTTGAAATCGAAGCGATTTACAAATACAAAACCATATGAGAAAAAACATCCCCTTACTTTACTATGTAATAGTTACCACCATGTCATTTTACACAAATGCATTTTAAATTCAAAACATCTCTTTTTAAATGCAAACCTTTCATTACCGTCTTTTGTTCTTCTGTTGTTCAGCCATTTGTTCCAATAGTTCTAGTCTATATTTCTCTTTCCTTTTCTGAATAGTTTCTCGATCTTCACCTCCTAAAAAGTAAAAAAAAAAATGCAGTCTTAACTCAAGTACATATGCGACTAAGAAACTCAAATTTTTTAAATCTTCACTCTTAATTACTGTATCAAAGAGTAATTACTGCATAAGCAAGAAATAAAGTAAAATCATGTGCATCATTACCTCTTCAACAATTTTTATAATTTATTAATATCTACTGAGTATCAAATACAAGACAGATTAATCCTTCCCAAACCTCTACATTTAGTCAAAAACCTTCTGAAATAAGAACACTTTCATCCCCATCCTTGTGCTTCCAATGACCGGGATAACATCTCCACTGACACCTCCCACAAGCCCATAAATTTAACAAGTACGTCCAAAATGAACATCTCAAAATCAACTGCCCCTCTTTGTTTTCTGCTAATGGCCCAATAATCGAGCCACGCCACCTCACTGTGACTGACTGCTCACCTTCTCGTACTCCACCTGAGGACCCTCCTTCCTAGTCTCACAGCCTTAATCTTGGGTGGGACCACTCCACATTTCACCTGGCCTGCAGCAAGAACCTCCTACTAGTCTCAGGAACTCCCCTTCTCCCTGCTTCAATCCGTCCAGCACACTATGTAAGACCATCTTAAAATATAACACTAATCACACTGGTGTCCTGCCTAAAAAACTTCAATGGTTACCTCATTCTATAGGAAAAAAATAAATCTCTCACCCTAGTATCACTCATGTGAAAATCCAGTTGTGCAAACATTTTAGATCCACACATTATTATTGCATATATGTTAATGACACAAAAGAACCTCTTAATCTAGATATGTATAATCTGGAACACTAACAAATCACAAGATATCAAAAGTGCAACTGAACCAACAATTTCTCTGCTACCTTCATTATTAGTCTCCTACCCATCAGTGGAACATATAGGATCTGAGTTTGTCCATTAAGCATAGATGTCAGCAACAGCAAAGCTCCCCCAGGGCAAACGTGAATTAAATTAAGGTTAATAATAATGTGTTATAATCAAAGTAGACAGGTCCATTCTGTTTCTGATCATGATGAAGTAACAAGTACAGAACTTAACCTCTCACCATAAAACAACAACACTAGGCAAAATATATGAAATAACTCTTTCAGACACTGGACAGCAGGCAGCGCGGGACTGTAATACCTGAGGGAAGAAAAAGAAATGAGGCGAGCCCTTTAAGTACCACCCTTTCTGCCTGTTCCTGCAAGTTCCTGCCTTTCCCTGCAAGTTCCTGCCTTTCCCTGCAAGTTCCAGACTATAAGGTACAGGGAGGGAGAACCCAAACGAAGCTGGGAAACTGAACTAAATTGAGCAGATAAAGATCAAAATTCAAGGAGGCTAGAATGGCTGAAAGTTTAGGGCAAAGACTGAAAAAGAACCATAAAAGAGCTTTAGAAATCCATAGAAGGGTCCCTTCGGATTTTGCACAATTTTGTGCATGCACAGAGTGGAACTGTTAGGCTGGGCAAAAAAAACTATGGAGGATACGTAAACTGAACAATTCTCAGACCTCAAGCAGAGTGGAGAAAAATTTCAAGCTCAAGCTAGTTAAAGTGGAGTTCTCTGTGATCCCCTAGGGCAGAGGTCCCCAGGCCACCCCCCACCATCCCCATCCCCGCCCCCCTTGGCCTGTTAGGAAAATGGCCGCACAGCAGGTGAGCAGCAGGTGAGCCAACGAAGCTTCATCTGTATTTGCAGACACTCTCTAGCGCTGGCATCACCACCTCAGCTCCACCTCAGATCATCAGGCATTAGATTCTCATCAGAGAACGGGTCCCTGGTGCCAAAAAGGTTGGGGACCACTGTAGAGTCTTTAGGGAAGATCCCAGAAAGGTCACTCTGTAGCAGTAGGGCTGAACCACCACTGGAAGGGAGACTACTCTAGACGTCCCTAGCTAAGCATCAAATAAGGTCTCAAAAATATTGGTCCTTAAGTAACGGAAAAACATGACTGTGGTATACAGAATTCTAAGACACACTCTCTGTTCCCTGTCTTCTGGTGCGGACTGTATAAACCCCTCCCCTCAAATGTGGGCAGGACCTAAGACTTCTTTCTAGGCAATATAATATGGCAAAGGTGAAAGGAATTTGCAAATGTAATTAAGATACAAAATCAATTTTGAATTAACCTAAAAGGAGATTATCTTGGGTTGGGCCTGATCTAATCGAGTAAAAGCCCTCCCTGAGTTTAGCGTCTCCAGGCTGGGACAACAAAGTGAGCAGCCAGATTAAGGAAGCCCACCTGGCAAGAAACAGCAGCTGGCCTGGAGGACTGGGAGGTCTCCCTCCAGCCAACATCTAGTAGGGAGCCAGGGCCGTCAGTAATACAGCCACAAGGAAATGAATTCTGCCACCAACTGGAAGTAGATGCTTCCCATTGAAGCCTCCACCCTGGTGACGCCTGGATTATAGCCTTGTGTGACCTTGGGCCAAAGTCTCAACCACAGTCCTGACCCACAAAAACTGTGAGATGATGTGGGATGTTTTGAGCCACTAAATTTGTGCTCATCTGCGATGTAGCAATAGAAAACTAATACAGTGACATAATAACCATTAGAAAAGTTAGTCAAAAAAAACACATAAATATCAGATGACGGAAGAACAAACAAGGATGTTAAAATTGCTACATAAGTATGCCCAAGTATTTAAGTGAAAATAGGAATATCATGAGGAGAAAATGGAAGCTATTATAAAGAACCAAATGGAGATTTCTGCTTCTTAGAAAGTAGAAAGCCAGAACAATGCTCAGACCCTACAATGGGAAAAAGCTGAATTATCTAGGTTACAAACACTCAAGTAAACTAAATTACAAAGGGTATTATAAAAAAACAATCAAAAGAGAGATGGATGTTTTATTTTATCAGAAATATGGAGAAACAGCAGCTGCATTAAAAGCAGGTAAGGAAACGGCTGAAATGTTAGTGAAATTCTTAAAGGCGTTGTGTGGGCTGGCTGACAACGCAGATCACCAGAAGCCCAGACACTAGAGGAACCTGCACTGAACTGCCCCCTCCACCAGAAAGCTCTCAAAAAAGACTGCAGTCAGGGCAACACAGGACTCCTGAAAGAGACCCTCCCAAGGCAAGAAAAACCAGCCTCTGCTTTCCAGACTCTTCTCTCATACAAAGCAGCAGCTGTCAGCTGCTGGGTGAAGGGCAGAAAACCTCCTTAGAGCCAGCATTCTGCACTACATACAAAGCAAAGATATGATGTTGTTAGAGGAAAGACAGGAAATTTTCACAGAAGACCCCATAGACATAAAGGAGAGTCTGGCTACCACTCTGTGGGGCAGAAACATGAGAAAGACGCATTTCTTCTGAGAGCCAGACGCACAGGGCCCTTCGCACTAAGGAACAAGCAATAGCAATTTACTGCTGAGAAAGGAGAGAGACGTGTGGAGGAGGCACGCTCCCTGCCAGGAGCACGCAGGCCTTGCTGAAAACCGAGGAAGGGGCGGGAACGCTGAGAAAATCCCTTCCTCCAGCACTCCGGGCCTCGCACTAAGAATAAGGTGGTCAGAGAATTTAATAGTTCTAAGCAATTGGTAGAACAAGTAAAAATCATCAAGGGTGTATAAGACAAACATTACTACCAAGCATCACTACACTCAACCACCACACAATGCACATCCTTTCAAGTCCACACTAAACATGCATCAAGATAGACAATATTCTGAGCCATTAAAAATTATTTTAAAAATTCGAATTTGAAATAACTGAAATTATACAAATTATTTTCTTGGCTCAAAGGGGAATTAAACAAGCAATCAATAACACAAAGAAATTTAAAAACGTACTTCTAAATAACGATGATTCTGTTATAAACCCCACAATGCATTATTTTTGTTCTAAGCAGTCAACTGTCAATTTTTTAAATAAAGCAAAGGGCTCCAAATGAGGTCCTTAGAGCAAAATTACAGGAAGACAAAGTTCAGTTCAACTGAAATGAGACTATTATGACAACCAGAGCCACCTCCAGATGGGATGTGCTGCCTCTGCAAAGTAAGCTTCCTACAGGTAAGTGCAAACACAACCTGGGGGGAACAACCATGATAAATCACTTGAGTAAATGATTCCAATGGTTTGTTTCAAACATTAAGTCTATTATGTCACCAGTCATCTATAATTCCTGAATTGTACAAATGATGAGCTCATGCCACTCATCTTTAAAATTTCCATTTATTGATAAAATTATTTGTCAGTGGACTTTCAACACAGAAAGCCATTTCTACAATTTTTATCATGTTTAACAAAATATATCAACAGAATGAAGCTTTTACTTTGACCTACTAATAGGTTAAAATCGTCAATTCTCACTTAAAGACATTAGACTAGAATAAAATAATAGGTGCTATGTCATTTTGCTCGCAATAGTCTTTTCAAAGAAACAGAGGTCATTTAATTATATATCTCTAAGCCAAGATTTGAATTTCTGACTGCTTTCAGGTTGAATGAACCTAAACTGTTATCCAATTTTCTCATACACTTCACTGAAACCAAATTTTGGATAATTTTTTCTAATTGCTTTTACACAGAGAACAAGACCTCTTTTCTGCTTAAAGTTACACAAGGGAACAAGGCTTTCTTCACAGTGCTTCTGAAATTAAACTGTGACAAGACAGCAAATCAACATGCTTATCTTAAGCAATGTCCTTCATTTCTGATAAAGAGAAAATGTGGGATTCTGATCATGACGGGAGCAAAACATCTCAGAAACCACAAGGAAAAAACATGGGAAAAGATACTTATCAAAAATAAAAAAGCTTTCGTTCAGGGGAATTAAACTAAAATGTAAGGCAGTTTGCTATCACATATAAAACAGAACATAAGAAATAGCCACACTATGACAAAGTGCTAATGGAATACAAAATTAAAAGCAATTATTACTGCAATTAATAATTCACTTCTCATCTATTGAAAAATTCATCACTAAATAAAAGTCATTTAGCTTTAGACAGAGCTATATAACACATGTTAAACGCTTAGCATACTGCCTAGCATAAAGTAAGTGCTAGTAAACATTCTCTATTAGCATGAGTAGTATTAATTACAACACTGAGTTCTCACCAAAGGCCTTTTATAAAACACTGTGCAAAAGTCTAATCAACTGGAAGTTTTGCACATACCAAAGAGCATCCCCGCAAAAGGACTACAGATGTATTGGTTAGTCGATTTGGATGGATCGTTGTCTTGAGTCCTATAACAAAAACAAAAAGAATTGGACACCAAATAATTTTCAGAAAACAAAAATTTAGAATAAAATGTAGATGTATGAGTTATTGGCCTTTCAAAGTACTATGGATACTCTAATTGTTACATATTTTTAAAATTAGGGTAAAATCATGACATTTTATCTCTTTATACGGTGGGACCCCAATGTACTATAAACATATTACCTTTTTCTTCAGCCTGCTTTTAGATTACCAATAAAAGCATTTTTATAAATAAGAACAGTTACCCCAGTAAAGAAAATGAATATAAGTACATATAAATCCTAAAAAAAGAAAGGTGATATCTATGCACACACTTGTAAGAAAGTTCACCCCTAAAAGACTCCTTCCAGGAGAGACCATTCCCTCACAGAAAACTTCATTATTTAGACCCAAATAGCAAAATCTCCTATCTCATGCACTTTTATAAATTTCTTTTCTTCAAAGAAAACTGCCACCTGACACATGACAGTGTCTTCTTTATACACTATAGATTCAGAACTGTTTATCCTTGCGTGGGACACATGAAAGCCAACAAAACGATAAAAACTTTAAATAGAAAGAGAACATGAATGTAAAATACATACAATTTCCGTTCTTTTGAATGACGGAATTATGTATGAGCACTAATTTTACAATGTTAAGCATAGAAGTTATCTACTCGATAAGCTGAAAATCAAAAAGAAAATTTTAAAAGAAAAACTTGCATTGCAGGAATATTTTCAATTAATTTCTGGTCAAGTTACAACACTCCCATAATTCCAAGATATTTTAAACTGATTTTTAGTCCATTACATTATATGTTTATTTCTCCTTTTATTACTTCAAATTTATACACTTTATAATGAGAGGAACTTATTCAGAACACCTTGGCATGCTTTATACTCAAAACTTCTTCTTTGAAAAAATGCTGTAAAGTACTATCAATTTTCATCTAACACAATTCTACCCCTCCACTATTTTTCCTTTAAGTCCTCTCTCAGTAATAAGGAAGGCTGCCAACAGACTACACTTTTCTACTTTGTAAGTAAGCCGGTTTGGATTTAGCAGGTGCCGTCTCACAATGTAATGACTAAAGGGCAGAATGCATATTACATACTCTACCTTTTACCTCCAGCAGATGAAATTCGTATGTCTGACCGTTCTGTGACATCACCACCATGCTCCACAGCAGGCGCATTCCCTTGTCTGTTCCCGTACGTCCTTAAAAACACATTAGCTTATAGAGCTTGTTCCATATACAGTGGACCTTCTTATATCTCTTTGGTATTTTTACATTTGATGTTGGAAATATTAAAGGGAACAGAGTGTTACAATGAAGTTTTACTGTAAACACATTCTAAAGTTAATTCAAATGAGATTCAATTGATCTGCTGGTTACTAAGAGAATCTGACAGCTTAGATTTAGTAATCTTTAAAACAAAGAAAGGCTTTTATAAATTATTGCAAGATAACTTAGAAATTTTAAATTTGAAAACTATGCATATACTAAGACTTTTTCATCACTCCCTTATGCAAAGAATATCCACTGCACACCTACTCCGTGCCAAGCACTGTTCTAGACACAGGGCACATGGGCATGGTCCTGCCCTCATGACAATTATTGTCAAATTTCAAAATGAGATCACTTTTTTAATCAAAATTCACTGATTCTGGGAATTATTTCACTACGTATACAAACTTTTTTAACTTAAAAATGTCGCAGCACACTTACCATTTATTAAATCAAATGTAGCAAAGCCATAACATTTGCTAACAGTGTAAATCACTTGAAAGAATAAATATTAGTAACAGGGACATAGAAAACATTATAAACAAATAGGCTGATGCATGGGCAGAAAATGACAATTTACTTACAAGGTTGTAACAACAAAAAAAGGTTAGAATGTTTTTTATTTCCTTCTTAAAAATCCTTTACAGAAAATAATTTTTAAAAATGTTTTTTCAATTAATCTTTTTTTTTTCCATTTGGCAAACATTGATTTCTTTAGTTTATTTTTCTCATACCAGAGAAATAACATGACTGCTTACACCAATATCTATCAACATTCATGAAAATCAGCATTTCATAAGTCTTACTTGCTACACAATTAAACTATACTGTCTCTCAAGAGGACTATTAGAACAAAATATGGCTGTTAAAAAAATTTTTCAATATTTTAGGTAAATTTCATTATCACATTAAGAAAAAATGGCAATTTTCAGAAGAAAAGAACTTCTCACTCTCCACAGAGCCAGCATATACAATTTTCTTTGTTTCCATCACACAAGCCACTGTCAATATCATCTGTGAAGAAAAACCTATACAACAAAATTGTGACCTTAATAATGTATGACCTGGCATGACATAAATGGCTTCCATTTTTTATCCATACCTAAAACAAAAGAACCCTCCGCAAGCCCTTTCAAAAATTTTTAAATTTATTTCAATTTATCAAAACACAGCTGGTTTTACACCTAAAGTCTAGGTGCTCGAATCTCTCCTTTTAACTGACACATCAGTGTCATGAACAGGTAAATATAAACTCAAATTCAAGTTTGTAATTAATAACGTCAGGCAATCGGACTTAGTTATACTGGATCTATATAAACACACATGTGCAGAAGAGTTAACAGAGCAGGCCAAAGACTGCGTATCCTTAGAAAGGTCTATTCCCAGGCTGGCCCTGAGCTGGCATCTAGGAACAGAGATTTTGGGAGGGGTCCCACCATCCCCAGGCTAGTGAGACCAGCTCACTGCACCTCAACTGCTAATACAAACAATGCAGTTTATGCTGACGTTCTGCTCTACCTCGGGAGTCTGGAATTTTGGCACCACCAGGAAAAGGGTGCCTCTGCAAGCAGCCCCCAGTGAAAACACTGAGCACAGAGTCTCTAATGACCGCATTTCACCCAAGCTGTCACAATTCATTGCAGGAGGGATTAAACACGTCCTGCGCAACTCACTGGGAGAAAACTCTTGGAAGCTTATGCTCAGTTTCCTTCGGACTTTGCCCCACAACCAGGAATATAACTATACATACAAAGTCCTGTGAGTCCTCTTAGCAAATCCCCAAATATGGGAGTGGTCTTGCAAACTCAATACAACAGACAAAAGTAAATTTGTCGATATGGTACAGTAGTGTCTATATCAATGAAAGTTTTCAAATATAGAAAAATTAGGGGGAAGCGGGGAGGTAGATGAGCTACAAGGGGTCAAATATGTGGTGACATTAAAGAATTAGAAAGACAGACAGACAGACAGAAAGAAAGAAGAAAGAAAAAGAAAGAAGAGAAAAATCCAAAGTTATAAAATTTTAATAGCATAACTTGGGACATGGACAATGGACTAATGGTTACCTGAGGGTGGGGGGAAGGGGGAGGCAGATAGGGGAAAAATTTAAATCATTTCTTCAATTAAAAAATAAATTAAGTAAAAAAAATAATCAGAATTAACCAGAATTAAAGGCTACTTACACATACAAGAATTTTAAAATTTATCAAAGAGCTTGTGGTTTCCTACATTATCAGATAAATTGGCTAAAAACATTTGGACTTGGAGTTCTAGCTTATCTTTATATAGCTGGACCTAAAGCATCTACCCTAAAACATGTTTTATAGGTTCTTCGGTATATGTAGATATTCTAATAAAGCAAATGTCATAAGCACATTTTCAAAGTTCATTCTAAATTAAAGAAGTTTAAGAAATGATTTTATTTATGTATAAAGTCAAGATCTCTGCTAAATTTCAGTAAAATCACCAAGATTTCCTAATGAACAGCCCATATGAAAGAGATTAAGGTGTATCCTTCACTAAAAAAAAAATTTATTAACAAAATTATAAAAGTCCCCTGTCTCTGATAATTATAATAAAATCAAAACTGGAAAATTTTTAAGAGGCCAAAAAAAGGATGGAGATATGTATTTCACTAAAAAGGACAGAACAAAAACTTAAGGCATCCTACTCAATTTTATGAAATGACTGCTATGATTGTGCTTACTTTATTAAGTCATGAAAAAGTTACTAATTACAAATAGAGTCCATAAGTATTTAAGTTACTAATATGACCTATTAAAAAAAATAACTAGAACAAACTCTAATAAGCTATGAAGCGAGATTATAGTTTGAAAAGATAGCCACCTTATTTTCTATTAAAATATCCCTATAATTATAATGGAATGTCCTTCATTTATTAAAGTTTCTTCCGTATTTCTAATAAATTTAGCGTTCAGTCACTCTTAGCTATCTCTGTTAGTTCACTTTTAACAGTTTTCATGGTGGTCTTACAATTATTTTAGAAACCTTTACTGTGGCGAATGAAGTCCCCTCTGAAGACAAGAACTGGTGAGAGCCAGTGGTGGTTTTACCATTGCCATCTCTTCAATCCTCTCGACATTAAGGGGCAACTGACAGATGGAAACATCCAGAAGTAATAAACTCACTAAATGTCTACGAACAGCCTATTTATAGTCAAAATGCAAGGGTTCAGTTTAGGTCCAGTTTGTCCCTGAGAAGTCATTTCAATTTAGCTATGCCTTTAGAGTCAGTACCAGATTAAAACTATCCCTTTGCCCCGGAACTATCTAAATATTCTACGGCTTTAAATCCATACATTCACTTACCACACACCTCAATCCACCGGGTTTTGTCAGAAAGGGACAGACCTCATAAAAGAAAAAATGTGCTTACTTTGACATAGCATATCAGATTTGGTTGAGAGATTAATCGTAAAATAGTTTTACCATCCTACTATCAAAAAAAAGTTAAAGGTTCTGTTAATCGGAGAAAGCTTCTTCTATTTCCTTGAAGACAAGGATCAATAACTTTATGGTTATTGTCTTGATGCCCAAAGAAACCAGGTATAGGCTAGAGGCCAAGTTTACTCTAAAAATTAACACGTGTTTATCTTTTTTGTTTTTTTTTTTAAATTACTGTCTTAAAGAAGAAAAGCGAATTGTTTAAAACCACAGGTATTTTCGGCTAACTTAACTGTGAATGAACAACTCCTAAAAGATAATGAATAACTTCTCTTTTTTCCTTAATAAACCACAGAATCAAACAAGTCATCCAATTCATAATAATGGTTACACCACTTGTTTTCATATAAAGAATTTCTCTAATGTGAGTGAATTCTGCTATTAGGGGTGCTCTAGACTATAAAAGTTAAAAGAAAAATACTAATCTGTTAACTGTGGCTCACCATTTTTCTCACTGTTTTCAGTTCTTTCCCTGTTTTTATATTTAATTCAATAACAGTATTTTTCTAATATCACCCCCATGTTTAAAGTGGGGGAAAATATTAAAATGGTCCTTCCAAAGATAAATGAAATTAACTACTGTAAGAAAAAAAGGTAATACCAAATTAAGTAACTCATTTCTCCTCATTTATGTCTTCATGTTAAACACATACGCTTAGTATGTCTTACACTAAAAACCTCTGTGGCTAATACGCATCTAATTTCAGATGGAGTTTTATCTCAAAATTTTAAATGACTATTAAGATTACAAACTAGCAAATATCAAGAGTTAAACAGAAGTGCTAACTGCATTAATCACATAAAAACTTAAAAAACTGCATTTTTAATGCTAAAACTTTCTTTTACTCATTAACATTAGTTATTAAGAAAAACATAATATGGTAATATATTAACCCCAATTGCTGAAGTTAATAAATAATAAAGACTAAGATGACTATATGTTAAGTGCCTACAAATTTCAAGGTATTATGAGACGTGCAATTACATTTAACTTCAGAAAGTTCCTAAAACATAAATTTTACTTAAATTGGTAAATACGTACGTGTACACACACACACACACACACACACTGCAACTGTCAAGCAAAGTGCTAACCACCTTGTTAACTATTAAAAACACTGCCAGTGAGTAATTAGTTAAGGAAAGTAAAATCATTTCTAGGCTTTAGCTTTCCCACATTTAATGGAGGAAAAATGTTTCATTAGTAAATATATTATGGTATATAAAAAAGTTTATAGGGTAATTAGAAAAGAACTGAGACCCAAAATATCAAAATCAAAAATTACAAAAAATCAAAACTAGAATTTATAACACACTGACTTTTAGAAGAAAAAAAGAGAACAAAGGTAACTTAGAAAAATGAAGGAAAATTAGTTTTATACTTCTCACAGCTATAATTATTTTTTGACAAGAACTTCTGGTTAAGATTACAGTATGTTAAGAATAAATGACTAGAGAGACCAAACACAGTTATACATTTCTTTAGTCTCCTTCTTTAACCAATAGAGTCATTTTTTCTATCCACCACTCCACCTCCTAAATAAAAACTAGTGAATGTTCAATGTGATATTTTTTTGCTAGAAATAAGGAATCTACAAGTTTGAAATACAGAAATTCAATTTAACCACAATTGCCATAAAGAGACATGTGAAAAACCTTATATTTAGAGATGTATGCATTAACAAAATGAAAGTAACATATAATAATTTATATTTTGAAGAAATATTTTTAAAAACTTTAAAACATGTAACAGGAATTATTCTCACGCATTTTCATATTTAATCTAATCTGAAAATACTACTTGGGTAAAATAATATAGAAAGTTCATTTTCTTTATGGGATACATAAAATAAAATAGTTCTCAAACAGGCTGAAATTCATTTGTTAGTCCATGTATAAAAGCATCACACGGTATAATTGCAAAAATAATAGATTAAAATATATAAAAAGCAAAACAACCATCACAATAAGTTTCTTGAAATTCCAAACTTGAAAGGTTTGCATTACATTGTCCTCTGAAGGTAAACACGATAAAGCAAGAAAAGTTCTCAAGTACAAAAGAGGCAGCACCAAGAGCCCAAAATCACCTGCAGCTCCCCAATCAAGAGTTCTTTTACTTTAGGCAGCCTTCAATTACTTTCTGATATAAACAAACATTTCCAAATATAACACATAGTAGGATTTGGAGCATTTTGTGAAGTACAAACAATTAAATTCAAATCAGAGATAAACTATAACTGGCAGCACAAAATTCTAATCCTTCACTCAAATTACCTAAAGCAGAGTGAATACTTAAAAGCTTGGGTGAGGAGGATGTAATAGCTACAGAAAAAGAGTAGAAGACAAAGAACTATAAAAACTTTGTATTATTATTAATAATTAGAATACTCAATGTGCAGCACTGCGTCTCAGAAATTTCCTAAATTATTAAAAAGTAATCTATTTGGACTAATAAGAGAAACAGATTCCATTTAATGCTCAAAATTTAGATTTAACCCTTTCAAGTTAAGTCGGTGACAAATATGGGACCCTGCCATACTTCTATCTCCAAATCAAAAGTTAGGTGAAAGTATAACAAGTTCTAAGTATTAAGACAAAAATCAAAAGCAGCATTATAAAAACAATCATCCAAATGAAATGAAAAGCATCTGAAAATCTGATGAAAAAAATTAGCCCCATTTCACTTAAATGTTTAATAAGTAACTTAAAAACAAAGAAATATAATGGTAAAAGGACTTAGAGCATAGGAACATTAAAGGAATAAAGTGTTTTTCACCTATTTTAAGGTGTCCTTTTTTTCCCCACATTCGAACTTCTGAAACTGGGAGAGCCACCGAACTGGTGGTAAGTCAAGTTGTTGCAGAAGGAAGTTATTTTTCCTCCTGCCAATCAGTCACCTAGGGGCACTATGGATGTGAGACAACTCTGAATTCCCTCCTCGAGTTTTCCTGGACAAAACTGGCAGCATGAATGCTGACTGCGAACCTGGATCAGAACTGGCTCACCATTCGAATGCTCGGGGAAGCTGTTTTTATTCCCTCCACTCAGGGCTGAGGCTGAGACACAGAAGTTTCTTGTCTGTCCCCTCTGTGGGAGTTCATTTCCCATTTGATTGCACGTACAGGCTGAAGCCTTTTGGTGTCCTAGCTTTATGACAGGGTCCCTCTCTCCCTACCTTGGGGTGTTTTGTTTCCTCAGTGGCACATAAATTAATGGTGCACCTTAGAATTAATCAAACATGTACATCAAACGAAACTGCTTCTCCCTAATGCAATCATAAAAAGTAACAACAGTACTATTAAGAAAATAAAAATGAAGTTGTAAATACCTGTTATCTGTATATACTCTCAAAGGTCTTCTATCAAAATCACTTTCATATCTAAACCTCTCGTCCATTTCTTCACTTACTTCGGGATCTTGGTCTGGTCTGTAAAACTGTCCATCAAAATCACGATCCTCATTAAACCTGTGAAATCTTCTACCTGGAATGTCGACCCTACTGGCAAACCTTTGATGGTTTTTATTGGAAATGCCCACTTCTTCATTAGTTTTTTTAATAATTCTTCTATTTCTTAATTCAATTTCATCATCTAGTTGTCGATACCTGTCCTCCTCTAGTCGTCTTTGGTTTAGAAGCTGTTCGTATGCCTCTGAAGGCGTTAAGACATCTCTCCTAGGACCTTCTGAATTTTCACGAGATGTTTTTACTTGTGAAGGTAAATCAGGTTTAACCTGATTAATAGGTTTTTTATTTCTTTGACTCTTGTGCTGGTCAATTAAAAAAGAAAAAAAAGAAACAGATCATAATGAGATGCTACTTCTTAAAAGGTAATTAAATCCTCAGATGAGGCTTAGTGTCTACTTATCTCAATTCTAAGGCTTAATCACCCATAAGAAATACCTTATCTTTAGAAACTTCAGGAAATTTATCCTTCAATAAAACTTAATATCATAAACAGCAAACAGTAATATAGGCAAGTAGCTATAAAAAGAGAAGATAAACTAAGAGTAATTCCTATCCCAGGAGATATTTTAAGCATATTTTGGCAATTAAATATTGCTTCGAAATATTCCAAATTAAATTCTTTCTCAACACAAAGAATAGAGAAAGCAGTAAATTTTTTGGCCCTAGTAACACCAACCATCCTAAAATTTGGAAAAAAACATAGCTAGAAATTGTCAGTATAAAACATTAAAAATAAACAAAAATAACTTAAAACCAATCTCTAAAATTAAATCTGGTCCTACAATATTAGTTAAAAGGTAGGGTAAGTTCTTCAATATAAGATAAAACTATTTGCACGACTAAATGTTTAAACATCCTGTGTTTGGTTCAATTTGGCTTAATTTTTTAAAATATTTACATAAAAACCAAGTGAAATAGCTAACACATAAAAACAATTTCAAGTAAATACAAAACACTTAATTGGTAGTATTAAAGAGCGACTTTAAAAGTAAAACCTACCTCATTACTCTTTTCTTCCTGTCTGAACTTTTCAGTGGATTCTTCCTTACCCCTGAGAAATTGATTGTATTCTTTGTTGCGTTCGAGTTTCAACCTTTCCTTAAAATAGACACCAAAAGGCAATGTTAACTTCAACTTCAGGATAAAGTACCTTATAGTCAAACCAGACTCACAAATTAGAGACCTTGCCCAGAATCAATTTTTCTAGTGACTTCAAGGACAGGAGTAGTTGCAGGGCAGAAGAGAAGTAGGAAGAGGTTATGATGCAATTCCCCGTTCCTGTCACATTAAAATATATCTAAGTAGAGGTTTAGGTCCGGATTACCAAGCAAGCTGCCTTGGTTGCAAAGCATCTCAACATTTTATACTCCAGTAGTTACCCAGCTTGAGGACACTGTACAAGGACCCATGCCCCATGATCTACGGATTCTAGGTTTACCAATGGCAATCCTAGACAATCGTAGCGCACTCTGACAAAAGCATCATAAATAAATCTCACCCACTAGTAAATATATGAATGAGTTTGTCAGGAAGTCTGTCATTACCATATTACTTTCCTTCTTTCCTTCTCAGGGGTATCTCCTGCCCCAATCCCCCAACCCTCCCAAAAGATCTGCTGCTAACTGTTTCTTTCCCAAGGCTAAAGAAGGATCCTTATTGTATCTTAAACATAACAAGGTAAAATTATCAAAGATGATAAAATATTATAATGTAATTTTCCACTGAAACCTCTTAAGAGTATGAGCATGTATTTGGAAAGAGATAGAAATATACATTCAAATAGTTCCAGACCCTCACCCTATATAAGATAAAAGCACAGTATGCTCTCTTATCCACTCATCTTAATGTGCTACAGAGCATAAACCAATGCTGAAAAAAGTGAATTCTGAATATTCAACTGATCAACATAGTAAAGAAATATATCACATTACATGGTGACAAATGTAATATTCAAAAAGATTTTTTTTAAAAACACAACTGGAGATTCTGCAGATTTGGAAAAATATATATATTCAAGTACAGGAAATGAAGTAATCTGTTTGCATTTAAATCAGGAGTATGTTCTTTCATGGTTTTGATCCTCATAAAACTGCTACCCACAAAAACTGCTTCTGTCCACCTACCTTGGCAGATAACCTCTCACCAATTGGAAGAGAAACTCCCAGAGTAGATGGATCTGTTTCACTCGTAGATAGAAAATTTTTCTGTATATATACACATTAAAAAAACATATTACCTAATTGCCTTTATAAAATGTTTCATAAATGTGTCTTTAGGTTCAATATTCTAAGTTATTACATTATGCAGAGCAAAAGAATGAAATGGAGATGAAGACAAACTACAAATCTACAGAGATCCTAATTAGAAAAAAGAGAATTTTCTTCCAATCAACAACTCCCTGAAGAGGAGAATCAGGTCTTAATTTTCATTTGCAATACATATATTATCTGTTGATTCAGGATGATTTATAAAGCATGAGGAAAAAAAAAACTGTTTCTTAATTTGTATTCCTCTTCTAAGCACATATTCTTCATTCTCAATGCCCTATCATTCTTTTGTTAAGGAAAATTTAAACTTCTTCACAAATATCCTTATGCCTACTGCAATAATGTTTTTTTTTTTCCTATTTTTTCTACAATAATGAGTAGGTATCCATTAAATACCAGAAAACATAAACTAAGGACATTTTTTCTCGACGTGTCCCTCCATTCTTGTTCAGAACAACGAGAAGTGGAAAAGCGCGGGCTCATGGACCAGCCCCAATACTTCTCAGTTAACGCTGAGCCAGGCACTTAGCCTGCTCTGCCTACCCACCAAAGCCGGTGTAAGGATCAAGCAAGATAAAAAACACAAAATCTCTTTGAACACTATAAAGCAAACATTAGGGATCAGTAAAAAATATACACAATATCCAACTTTGTGGTAGTCATATAATCTGGAATAAGTTACTTAACTTCTCTGCCTCAGTTTCTTTGTAAAACAGGGATGTCATCTACATCACCGGGTTATGAGGATTTAACCAAGCAAGTTATTAACCTGCCTAGCTCCATGCCTTTTATTCATTAAATGAGCAATCACTATCTAATATTTTTTAGTTATTTTTTTAGGTGGTTCTGAGACAAAGATAAGCATGTGTTCCCTATATCCAAGAGATTTACAATTCATTTGGAGAAACAAACATGTCAATAACTACAATACAATGTACTCATGGTGTTATAGTCAAGACATTATAGAACAGATTAATAAAACTAAATTATTCGTAGTTTCATTAAATCTAAATTTACAAATAAGTTGTGCTACGAAAGCTAACCTGAAAGTTGGTAGAACTCTACGCTTATTTGTCAAAGGAAACAATATGACACGTGACTAGAGCCGTGAGTCACTTAAAACCCCAGTTTATACCAAAGTACACTATAAACATAATCATTTCATAGTAATAGAAGTACAAAAAAACACATTCGGAGTTCCAACCCTGGAGAGATACAGCACTCGTGCTCCTTAACTGAGCAATCTGCCACTCCCAACACAGGTCCAGGATGATGTTTAAAATTTTCAATAAAATAAAAAGGTAAACAATAAGGACAATATCATGAGTTTTTCAAAAAGCTGAATGTTAGCCATTCACTCATTCATTCAATAAATATTCAGTGCCCATTATGTCCCAAACTATTTGATACATTTAAGACTCATCAGTGAAAAAACTAACAAAATCCTTGCCTTCCTGAGCAGGGAAAACTGACAAGCAATAATAAACATAATGGTATGTTAGAAGGTTACAAGTGCTGTGGCAAAAAAATAAAAAGAACTAGCTACAGGCAGTACTGGAGTGAGAGGAAAGGAACACAAGGGTCCCATCAGATTTCTAAGTGAAATGTCAAACGGGCAGCCAAACAGAAAAGTCTGAGGTTCAGGAGAGGGACCTGGGTTGAAAATATAAATTTACAGATTCAGTTTAACAACTGTTCTGGGAATATGTCCTTCCAGTGTTGTTAGATGGTCAGGTGTTTTTAGTCTAAAAAACAGGCGAAGATGGTAGAGATGGCAGTTGTTTTAATGACTCTCATTGACAAAATTTAAAGATTCGATTTTTTTAATATGCATGCAATTTACAACCTGCAAGGCACAAGAAATCCAGAGAGAATGGGAACTGCCAAGTGTACATAACCCAGGGGTAGAGGAAGCCATCGCAGCCACTTCCCCATATCCTTTCTACTCCCACTTCCTCACGTCGACCAAAATTGTCTTTCATACTGCTCCTCTACCGCTATGACATTCTTGATAACCTGACACCAAAAACTTCTCTGCATCTCTTATTTTTTTTCTTTCCCTTTCACAAAGGCGATTTCTTCTTAAGTCTCTTACCACTGGTTTCCCACCCTCTCCCCAAATCATATATCTATGAAGTAATGTAAAATCCACAAATGAAAATGGTTGGTATCAGAGGAAAACGTCCTCCAATAAAGAGGGGTGTGGAGAAGACAATAAAGTACCAGGCCAGGGAGGCAGGCTGGAGTATAAAGACTTCACATGTCATCCTAGAGAATTTGAATTTTTATCCTGAAGGCAGTAGAGACATTGAAGTATTTAAATCAGTTAAGAGCAGGATCATTCTGGAAAGCAGAATGGAAAATGGACTGAGAATGGAAGGAGATCTGTTAAAAATTTGTAGCAGTAATTTAGGACAATAAGATTGTTCTGGAAGTTCTAACATGCAGAACTAAGTGTAAAACAGTTCTCAAGCTCCTCACAGGCTGTTTAAGGAGGAACGTTTCACCACTGCCTATCACACATACCAAGTTAAAAAACTAAAAATCTACTGCCTTCTAATCAAATCCCATCCTATTCATCTACATCGTTATTTCTTACTACTCCCAAAAAGCATCTACCTCAGTCAGGTTGGTAAGCCTAATATGCCTCATTCATACAAAGCTAGCGTCTACCCTCCAGGTCCTTCTTTATACTATTTATATACTAGTATATAATTTTTTATATGCTAGTATATAATTTATACTATTATTCTGCATCTGAAAAGCTTCCTCTCCTCCCTCCATTCACCCCTAGAATATCCAAACTTTATCCATCCTATTATTGCTTACATGTAGCTGAATTGATACATTAGATTCCCCCATTCCAGCCCCATACTTGACATCTAACAAGTCCATAAGTGTGTCATTTATTATTAAAGTTCTGATCTATTGAAAATAAATAAATAATAAATGTTTTGACCTCAAAAAAAAAACCAAAAAAAAAACACCACCTTGAGGCTTTTCCTCATCATTCTATCCTTCTCATTAGTTGCTACTTTCTGAATTGTATAAATGTTATCTCTACAAACTAGATTCAACGCTCCCTGAAAACAAGATTCATATTTGACTCATTTCCTTCAGTGTTTAAAAAGTGTTGGTTGAATGATGAATGAACATATGAGATTCTTTTTAAAAAGTTTTGTAAAACTATAAAACTGTTTCTTTGTTTTCCAACATAAACTTAAAAATGCAATCCACAGATTTGGGTACAAAAATATCAAGTAATCCAAATCCTGACAACACACAGTTCAAAAACATCTTAGACTACCTTGAACATTCTATTATTATATTAATTTTGATGTGATTAATAATTTGAAGAACAAAACTGGCATGCTGAAAAAAATGAACTTACAATAGATGCAGAATATTTCTAAAGGATGCATAAAAAAGCAACAAAAACAAATGCAAAGCAGGAATCACAAAGAATGCTTAATTGTATTAATGGAAAATTATACTGTATCAACTGTCATCTTGCCAAAAGCAAAAATACAAAATGGTACCATTCAAAAGTCTCAAAATCATAAAAGAAGCCATTATTCTAATGAGATGGCATCATTATTATGGACGCAAATGACTGATTACAAGCTAGTCGATTAAAAAGGAGAAAACATTTTGCAAGCAACCCTACCTTTCTTTTTGCTTCTGTAATACCCTAAAGTCAAGGGAAACAAACCATTGATAAAATATACTCAAAGTCCTTTCTCTCCATGTGCAAATCAGAATACATAAGAGACCACTTATACATTTATAATTATACATTAAAAAGTAGTAGAAAAACTTAAAGACTATCTTAGGATGACTAGAATCATGCTTGTTTAAAATAATTTTATAACCTAAAAAGTAAATTGCATCTTAAAACTTAAAATAGACCTTTAGGTTAGCTATTATATAATTTAATAAAATATACTTAAAACAAGAGTTCACTAACTATATAAATTATAAAGCAAAAAACTTTGGTGGTTAAATATGTTAAAGTTTTATAAACTTAGCTCATAGGAAAATAATTAGCAACTAGAACTCTATGTGTCATTTTAATATGCAGCTGGAGGGAACAGAGGAGTAGGAAATCATAAGTGGGCTATTTAAAAACATAACTTTACAGAAAACATAAACAACCAGAACTTACATTCTCATTTAAAAATCAGACCCCACCTCCCTACTCCAAAGACCAGGAGTGTGTACTTTCATTGCACCAGTTCTCAGCACCATTTTTTTCTCTATCAATGTCATACGTGTCACTCAACTTTCACTCTAATACCCCACTGCTAGATTCCACTGAAAATTTAAAAATTAACATATATAAATAAAGCCTTAGGAAAACAAATTTAGGACATGAATTCTGAAGCTTAACACTCAACTAATTAACAGAACTCTACCTGAGTAAGATAGCGCCTGTAATCTTGCCGCAATTCTTCTTTTAGTTTATGTTTCTTCCGTTCATAGTCTTCCCCAAGTGGTAAACTTAATCCATAATCAATTCCTAGAAAGAAAACAACTTCTTAAAGTAATGTAGCTCATTTTCAAACCAATCTCAATTTCAATACAATCTCCTGTAACAAAGCACAGTAGGAAGGAACATATGTTGATTCTGAGACTGGAAGCAGGATAATAAATTTTTCATTCAAAATGTTTCAATAGGTAATACAATCACATAATGGAAAATACCCCTCCTACCCATGAACCCCAGCTACCCAGACTCCTGCCCAGAACAACCAATATTACTGTTTCTTGTGCCTCCTCCCAGAGACTTTTAATGAGTCTATAAACAAATACGTTTATGTTATTATTATCATGCATGTGCATGTGTATTATATTTGCTGCTTCCCCCTTTAGATAATGGCTCTGCATTGTTTGGCATCCTGCTTTTTTAAAGACAGCAAAATTGAAGCTAAGAAAAGCTGATTACTTTTACTTCTTCATTTAATTCTACTGAAATTTCTTTAAATATAAATATTTACGACAATTTTAATGTGTTTTTCGGCCTGTGATAATTAATAACATGATGTTTTAACCTATTAGAATATTCTTGCTATATATAACATGTTTGAGAAAAATTAGGGCCATCCATGGCTCAGAATAAAATTTCCAAACATTTAAACAACCAATCCTGATTTCACATAAGTGGATATCAATTTTTATTATAGTAAAATATATATAATATAAAATTTACCATTTTTAAGTGTACAATTCAATGGCATTAAGTTCATTCAACATGTTAAGCACCATCACCACTATTTCCAGGATTTTTTAATCATCCAAACAGAAACTCTGCAAAAGGATAATTTTTTTTAAGACAAACTTCAATTTCGAGCATAGAGTTCACAGAGTTCAAAATTCAGATTAGTTTTAGATGATGACAATAGTGATGACTGTACAACTTATAAACACACTAAAAAACACTGAATTGTACCATTATTAAATGGGTAAATTAGAAGGTACATAAATAATATCTCAATAAAGCTGATATTCAAATTACATACTTTTCAGATATTTCAAATAGTAAAATACTATGTCAAGCACAGATATCAGATGAGTATTTGATTTCTGAAGCCCCTCTACCTTTTTTGAATCCTACCAATATTATAGTATTAAAAAAACCTAACATTTCTAAATACCACAAAAATTGTCCTTAAGGTTAGCTACAGCCAATATAGATGAAATAACTGGCTGCAGTTAACAAACTGATAAAGATATCACCATTTTTATGCCTTATTCTTGACAATGCAGCTAAATGATGGGAACTTATTATGAATGTGCCATATTATTGCTTTATTACATCACTGAATATATTGCAAGGGAAAAAAGGACAAAGTATGAATATTAGTGAGTATCTATCGATCTTTCTGTAACACTACATTCCGCCTTCCACCATGAACACTGTGGAATCCCCTTAACGAACACTTCTGGTCTACGGAACGCCTGACGAAAGAGGGTAGAACACAGGATTCCTCAGGACACCTTTCACTCACTCATGCTCCCAATTTTCTTCCAAAAAGAAGTCTAAAGCATTCCACATGCTGGGAATTTTTAATCACCCTAGAAAGTCATTCTTTCTTCAAAAAGGAATCTAAACCTTATTTTTAAAGATACAGAATTTAAGCCTAACAAGAGAAACAGTTTGAATCCTCACATTCAGAATGGAGTATTAATAAGAAGCTAAACTATAAAATCCATTAAGGCCAGGTCTATGCTTTATTCAATTTTATAATGCCTGGCACACAACCTGTACTCCAGAAATGTTCGCTGAATAAATGTGTGAATGAACACATGAATAAATGCCTGAGTTAAGAGGAAGGAATGAAAGGAGGAAAAGAACACACGATTCTTAGTATTTCATTTTTGATTTTAGCAGTCTGATTGCAGAGAGACAGGAAGTATAATAACTAGTTACTACAGTTACTCATCTCTAGACATACAGAGTCACAAAGGATGCTCTATTGTGTCAGAGAAAAAGAAAGTGCTGCAAGGAATATATGCCTCCCGCCAACATGCTCCACTTGCCTCTCAGGGAACATATGTTTACAGCTTTCTGAAGTCATGTGTTTAAGGTGGCTTTTTTCAAATACTGTTTTTCAATTTTGTTTGGTAGACTTATGTGGAATAAGAAGAAAAATGAAAATGAACCACATTTATAAATTACTGTTCATACTAAGTTCAATTTTATTTACCGAGAGTATTTGCTTTTTACTATTGACTCAAACAGTATTTGTAATAATTGTCTCAGAAGACACGAATACATAAATTTTATTAAGATTTATTCAACAGGAAATACTTCTTAATTCTTATTTTTTCATCTAATACCAACATCTTATGGCACTGAAGGTAAGTCATAGAAATAAAATTAAAAACTATATAGAACATAAATATTCTATTCATTTTAAACTATACATTAAAATGGAATCTCAATTGACTAATGAGATAAGAAACATGGTGAGACTTACTTATTCAGAGCAGTGTCTTCTAAGAGTTCTAGTGGTAAGTAAAGCATTAGGGTCACTTCAGCAAATACACCACCACTGACCCTAAGGTAGTTTACATTATGCTTCAGAATGACATCAGTGAGCAGTATTTGGTTTCTATAGTGTTGTGGGTTAGATCAAATATTTAAAACTAAAGTACATGATCTTTTAAAATTAATATGCCTTCTAACATAACACTCTTATGTTATTTGTTTATAATAAACACTTTATAAACAAATGACCATGGAACACAGTTTCTTCTTTTCATTATATTATAACATGAGAAGTCAGTATGTCAGTATGTCAAAACAAAGGACAAATTATAATAAATAATAATAGGCCTTTCCATAAGCAGATGACTTATCAAGAGATGTTAACTACTTTAATTGAGGAAAACATTGTACACAAACTTCAGCTACAAAGCTATTTTACAAATCACCCACTTGACCTGTACAAACTGAACAAAACAGGTAGAATGTCTGGGATTTAATTTATAAGAGAAACCTAAGTCTACATATGCTAAAAGGAAAGATAGTTAAAAATACAATAAAAACTAGTAAAAAATCAACAATTTCCTATTGTCTACTTCCCAAAGTCTATATTAGCTGCAATGTTTTAGCTTAAACTCTAGAGCTTCTCCGCAATGTAAAATTCTGCTGCTTCTTTCCTGATATTTTTAGTTACATGTAATTTTTTCTTTATAATTCTTTTCCAAATTTCCATTAGCATAACTGTATTTAAAATGAATTTTTCAGAATAATATAATTTCTAGTAACGAGTAAAATCTCTTCAATCTTACTTGAGTAATCTATAACCTTTTTGCTTGTAAATTTCCCCCTCAAAAAATAATAATGATTTCACAGCATGAAAGATAAAATAAATATAATGCATTTGGAGCCTGAAATGCTGATCAATGATATTTTGATTGAACAGTAAGAAATACCACCCAGAAATGATGGATAAAAACACGTAGGACTACAGACATTGAAGATGAATTCCTGAGTACCCAAAATTTAGAGGTGAAGGAGCTGAAAGGGAACCAGAAAAGACTGAAAAGGAGTGTGTTGGGAGTCCTCAAAGCCACCCTTGGGTTTGGTGATTCACTATAGGACTCACCGAATGCAGAAGTCATTATACACAATCATGGTTTATTACAGTGAAAGGATACAAAGCAAAATTAGCAAAAGAAAAAGGCACATGGGGCAAAGCCCAGAGGAAACCAAGTGCAAACCTCTAAGCAGTCTTCCCCAGTGGAAGCACACAAGACCCACTTGATTCCTCCAGCAACAACCTGCAACAACACGTAAAGTGTCGCCTGCTAGGGAAGCTCATTAGAGACTCAGTGCCCAAGGCTTTTATTGGGAGTTGGTCACATACTCTGCCTAGCATGTACCCAGACTCCCTGAAAGGGAGTGCCCTGAATAAACCATGTGGTTTATACAGTATATACAGCATAGTTTAGGAACAATGAGTCACTCTTATTATTTAGGGAAAATTGTACATTAGTGTAGAAAATGGTTCACTAGCGAGGTTCCAGACACAAGCCAAGGGCCAGCTTTGCAGGCAGGCTCTTCTAAGGATAGAAAGGCCCAGGCCTGCTCTGTTAGGTGTATACAGAAGTCCTTGCCCAAAGGTACAGTATCTAGTCTATAAATGAGCAAGCAAATAATTTCAATGTAACATACTAAGTGCTATGTGACACTTTCTATATAACCTACTACAAGTACCAATCAGTTTGGTACACAACGAACTTTCCTTTCACCCTGGGATAAGCCTGTTTATTAATATTTTTATGCCGGCTCTATGTTGACTTTCTTTTTTAACTAAAATTTTACATTCTTGTTTGAAATAAAACAGGCTCTTAATTGTTTACAGCATTATTTCTGAGTTGCAAAAATTCTCTATGTTTTCCCCTGTTTTACAAATTTTTTCCTCCTGTAGTCCCTAATTCAATCTTGACTGCCATAATCAGAAAGACAGAAAGGGCAAGAATACTTTTTTCTTGCACCTGTAGTGGACATCTTAGCAGCAAACAGTAGTTGCTCCAGGTCTGTCAATAGATACAACATTAGGTTGCTTTTTAGTCTCAAGAGGTCATGGTCATGTCCCTATACTTTAAATCACAAAAGTAGTATCTTCAAATGTAGAATAGGATCTATGCTATCATAAATAGAAAAAGAAGAAAGGGCTAAATACATGTACACAGTCTACTCATGAAATATATAAAAGAAAATGCTTTAACAAGAGAGACAGGGTTGGGAGAATATGATATAATAGAAAATATATATATATATATATTGGTCTCTGCCCCCAGTTCCTGGCACAGAGCTTCTAAAACCCTTGAAATTTCTCAAGTGATAAGAATACTAGGAGCATCTCTTATTTTAACATTTGCCTTTGACCCTGACACAGGGTTCCTAAAACTCTTGTAAAATTGGCAAGATCACTAGGCCAGTCAAGATGATGGAATAGAAAACACAGTGCCTGCCTCCTCCCACAATGCATCAAAATTACAACTAAG